GGTTAGTTGCACAACTTTTGCAAAATATGTGGAAGCCACACTCAATGCACCTCTGTGTAGTGTGGTCCTAACTCTAATCTATGAGAGCCTCCATCTTGGAGCATATACTGTATATATAGAAAATGATGAATTGGGTGCAGGTTCACAAGGAGGTAGCCCATTCCTCCTTAAAGGCACAGGGATACACCAGAAACCACGCACATCACAACGGTAGCTGAAGCCCCCGTGTGTCCCCATACCAAATCCAACTAGCAATACAAATGGCAAATGACTAGCTTTAGAGTAAGGTGCACATGGAAGGGCTTTACACAATACAAACGCAAAAGGTTTCCCAGCACATTTACCGGCTAGCCTTCAAAAAAGTTACACTGTCTAGCATTTAGGGTTCAAAACAGAGGTTTTAGTTGCACATCTTTTGCAAAATATGTGGAAGCCACACTTCTTCATCAGCTCACTTCCGGTCCTGGTAACAGCTTTTTGTTTTACGTTGTGACAGGCAAAAAAATCTGGTAGAAGTATTAGGCTTTACCCAAATATGCAGAGCATAGAACTGTGACCCAACACATGCAGGTAGCAGGTATTCAGCAGCTTTTCAATAAAAGCATTCAAAGGAGTAAAGGGTATCTTACACATATTACTTATTTTCTCACATTTTACTGAAAGACACACCTTTAATAAAATAGGCTTAATTCACAAAGCTAACACACCAGGATAAGGTATTTATTTAAAAATAAAGTGACAGTTATTTTCAGCTGAGTCCAATGAGATTTGAGCATTACAGTCTCTGGGCTAAAATAAAGATCTTTATTCTTCTGTTAAAGCTTTGTGAACTGAGCTATATGTGTTTTTGCAATCCAACCAGTGAATCCATACAGAATCCCAACACAGTACAGACCAAAAACTGATGTCACCGTTTATATTTTTTAAGTCTTTTGCTGATTGTAGAGCATGCGCTACAATATATCTATAAAATAGTAATTGTACTGTAAGAAGCTTTAAAAACAGGTGTTATCTCTGGGGGGCACACAGATGAGGGTGGGATAATGGAGACTAACACTGCATCACTCCCAGTTAGGATCTGTCCAGTTTGGCAGCAACCTTATAAACGTAACATCTAGTTACATGTTCTTGGTCAAGGCTGTCATACATTTATACACTACAGATAAAAAGTTTTGGAAACCCAAGTTGTTGGCCCCACTAAACAGATTGCAGGCATCATTTGCCAGCATAGATTTGAACATGGAACCTATCACAATGCTGTGGGCAACAGTCTCATATGCTCTTTGTTTATAGGTGGTTCTGTAAATGGAGAATTTCAAGAGCATTATAGCCCGTACTCATATACAAAGCCAAAACAACATGTGGTGCCCAGCATGTTAACAAAATGGTATATCCACAAACTCACAAAGGCCTCATCCTACGAAATGTGGATTTCTGAACTTTGATTTAAGAATCAACCATAGGACAATGTTTTCATTAAGACTGTGTCTTACAAACACAATCTATTTAAATGTATGTAAGGCAGTTTCTCAACATGTTTTAACAGGACATATCTGACAGACTGTTCAATTATGGATCCTTATGAGCATCAAAATATTTACATTTGAGAAAAAATGAATATTAAATACCCATAATTGCGCAGATATTGTCTTGATTCACACTGAATAATGTAAATATATTTGTAAATGTTCAATGTCCGCAATGCCATACTCTCCCTTCATTATTTGGTATCTATTCTAGTTTCGCTCCTTGACTTTATTTATTTTATTCTTTCAGGTTGGCTTTATTTCATCTCTTATTTCTCATACTTGCATCCTCTACATCTTTGCCTCCTCACAGTTTCACAATGAAAAACTGCACTCCGACACAAGTCCGATGTGCAGCTATAGCACAGAGGTCAACCCAGTGAACGACCCCTGTGAATCATAAAGCAGGAAAGCAGATGCTGATTTAATCCTCCTCGTGGCTGGAATTCTAAGATCATGCGGAGGCATTAAATCAAATCTGTGCATTTAATAGTTGATATCTAATATGAAGGTTAGGAAGGGTTGACAGAGCAGGCATTCAACCTGCCAGAGATCATTCATCATTCAGGTCATGTTCTACACTGTGTTTCTAAACTGTCTTTTCATAGTAAGTTTAAATACCAGTCACCAATTAATATCCTAAATCAGTTCCAGAAAGGGGCATTTAGAAGCTTTTCATCCAACACTTTCCTTTAGTCTCAGATAAGGTGGGGAAGAGCTCACGTATATGTCAATGATATTTAACTGTCTTTGTCCCCAAGGGAAAATTTCCTGTCATGTTACCATACAAGACGTTAGGAGAAACTGCCCCAGTGGGCACAGACCACAGTAAAAAACTGACAACTGGCAGAGGTTCTTACTCTCCCACACACTGCTGTGTCTCTGTTGGGGAGATCTCTCTCACATCCTGCTTGAGTGACTACATTGGATGTATCAAACAGTGAAAAAGAACTAACATGAGTTCTAACCTTTCCCTACTCAATCCATAACTAATAAAAGGGTTGGGCTGACCTTGGGCTTTACATTTTATATTAGATAAAGAAATTACAGATGCATTTAAATCAACATTTTGGTTTCTGCATTAGCACCACATTGGTATGGTCAATGGGGAATACTGGTATATCAGTGTTGAACAGACAAAAATACCTTACACAACCAGAAAATAATTTTTTGGCTCATGTACTTGGATGTTCTTGCCTCCTCAGGAGGTCACGTCAGCTTAACGGGTTGTTCACAAAGTCTGGATCATGTCCAGATCAAAATAGTTTGTTCCAGGACCAAAGAAGCATCCCAATGTATCAGGGACATGTGGTCAGGGGAGGCAGGTGAGGCAGAGCCTCACTAAGTATTATGGAGGAAAAAGCTGTCGGCTTCAAGTCTGAAGCTGATAGCTTTTTCTCCATTCAGACCATCTTGTAACAGGTTATACAGCAGGTAAAGCCTCCCCGCTGTGTAACTTGTCATGGAGCACTGCCTGTTAATTACTGGCGGTGCTGCATCCAGCTTTTGACAGCTAAGTTAGGTTACACAGCAGCGGGCTTCCCCACTGCTTGTGTAACCTAACTTAGTGAGGCAAGAGCTGCAACAGCCTCTACTCTATGTTAGATGCTTGAGCTCTGTGGGATGGTTTGGACCAATGGCAACGTGCCATTGGTCCAAGCTGGCCAATCAAAAAAAAGGAAAAAAACCCCACTGATGAAATTGATCTCGATGCCTCACCAGTGACGAGCAAGTGAGGGACAGGGAGGCGCCTCCCTATCTCCTCCCTCCCTCCACCACACATAGCTTGGTGACTGGGTTGGGGGTGGGGCTTTAGCTGGCTGGGGCTTCAGCTGGCTGGGGGTGGCGCTTCGGTGGACTGGGGCAGGGCAGGGTTCATGCACCTTTTTTGTGCGATGGGGGGAGTGCTGGGGGAATGCTTTCCCCAGCACGGAAGGTACCACACGTCACTGCATTGTATCCCTATGGTATTTCTGGGCTCTGATCACACCAGCGCAGTCCGTTCCAGACTAGACAAAAAAATACTGCTTATCTCATTTTTTCTGGTCCGGCACACACCGGAACACATCAAAAATGCATGCTTACCAACTGGACTGCACCTGAAAGCCCCTTTTAAGCTAAATAAAAATGCAGCAAAATGCGTCAAAAAAGGAATTCACTTTGTTTGCAGATCTGCTCCAGATCTGGTTCGGACATGGTGTGAACACAGCAGATGTACTTATTTCCGCTCCCAACTGAACTTTCAAGCCCTGAAATACTTAAGGTGAACCTTACTCAATTTTGTTTACCTTTAAAAGTAAAAGTGCTGCTTAAGATCATACACCACAAATACCTGCTATTATGTTTATAAGCCTGAAAACCTCTTCTGTGGCCCATTCTGATTTAACTTTAATACCTAACTTTTGCTGACTTCATGGCTCATTCCTGACAGCTGCCTATCTATTATGCTGTAATACTACTTTAATGTAATGGCATATCTGGATGGCAGTGGCCAGGACATTGGCAATGAAGTCCAGGTCCCAGTAACAAAGTCAAATTTATTCGAAGAGGCACACAGAAAATGCTTTTCTGGTTAATAAACATAATAGCACCAACTTGAGGTGTCTGCTCTAAGGCAAGACTTTTACTTTTAAAAGATTATAATTAAATTCAGGTTCAGTTTAATCCAGCCCATGCAGTCTATAGAAACGCTGCTTATAGGGTTAGCTGACCCTCCTTTGTACATGAGAACTAAGGTATGCTGCCAGATGCAACATAACACAGGTGTCTTGTCAACTTGTACTGCATGTTGTTCACCACTAAATATCAGAGAATGATGTTATGCCTACAGTGTTCATTGTTCACTGTACAGTAAACTGTGCTTGGCTTCACTACTGCAGTTTGTAGCTTCCCTTGTTCACTACAGGCACAACAAGATAAAGAACAAGATCCCTGAATAAGAATACTGAATATTCCTGCTGAGCACAATACAGTGCAAGAATAGCTAAGCACTGCTCACTGGGTTTTTGTATATACACGCCCTTCACCACATTAGTCTGTTGGACAGATGTCATACTTGTCTGGTTGAATGGAATATGCAGGAATATTGTTAATAGAATATATGAAGTACTGTATAATTGTGTGTATTTGGCCTCCTTATTTTTAAAACAAAAATTTTATTTTGATCTCCTTTTACTTTATTTGGGTAACATGTTTAGCAAACAATGTTAAGTCAGGTTAATTAAAATATATTTACAGTAAACCTTAGCAATCCATGAGAAAATGATGATAAAAAGCAATACATACATTTATTCTGACTGCAGTAAAAAGTTACAATATTTGGGACTGGTAACCTTGGATATGAAGCCTTATTATTGTTCTTCTTTCTGACCCACGATGACTGATCTCTGGTGTTGGATGTCTGGTTATGTCAGTCTCATTATGGTACATTTCTAAGCATCCACTGCTCCCCTTACCAAAAATATCAATTTATAGGTTCCGTAAACCCTACAAAGTGCGGCTGTCCTTTTGCTCTGAAGATGTCTGCATGTCAGCTGCTCCTGGAGATCACCACTTTCTTAAGGGAAACATTCCCATGCCTGCCCAGGCCTAGGACTGAGCCTCTTGTGGTATGTCAAATGCAACAATTATAATCTGATTTTGTTCATTAGTAGATCGTGAGAAATTCATCAAATACGTGTGTTAAGGTCTGGTTTACATCTGGCTTCCTGAAACCGCGCGTCAGCATGCGGTTGCGTGCCATAGTTGCCGCATGTCCCTGTTGATTTCAGCGGGATCATGTCCGCGTGGCAACCGTGGCAAAAAGGTTCATGCACCTTTTTTGTGCGATGAGCGACCTGGGTTTTTTTGTGGCCACGATTGTGCACAGATTGCTAGCAATTGGGATGCTATTAGAAATGAATGTCACCGCAATCGCGGTTTGTGTGTGTGTGCTATTCTGGGATCGTGCGGCAATCATTGTAACAGAATATTGTCACATATAAATAAGTATAGATAGTGTTTCATGTTGTGCATCCTAGGCATGCACAATGATTGTTGCTCACACTTTCTGCTGCAGTACTCAGGTGTGCATTTATAACTTCACACTGTATTCTGCGGCCATTTCATTAAATTCAGGTTTCAATGTGTAGGATTTGGTAAGTCGGAAGAAAGAACTCCATGATTAGAGGAGAGGCCAGTCACGTGACTTTAACAAGTCTCGTACTTTATAAACTTTTTTTTTTTTTCAGCGATGGTATTACTGCAGTAAGGCCAGAGCACTGCTTTCAAAATGGACCCTTCGTCGCACATTTACAGTTCTAGCTGTAATCATTCTTAAAAGCAATATACTTTCCTGAATGATTTTCTTAATACAGCCATTCGGCAAGGAAGCTAGAGTGTGTTCCTACAATTATGTACACACGGAAATGTTCTGAATGTCTGCATGAATGGCACCTAAAATGTAATCCTTTTCCTAAACCCTAGTACGTGTAGCAATTGAGCTGAATTACCTCCAGGTCTATTCTCTTAACTGTTGACCAATGGAGGCCCATTAGAAACCTTGCCAAACCCTTCCAGTAAGATTTCACCACTTATCTGGCAAAATCTGAAATCTCTTTTTATAATGCAACAAAACATTCAACATTCAACAAAATAATATTTTAAAAGAGCAGGTTAACAAAACTGTGATTTTTTTTTAATGCCAGAACAGGTCAGATCTAGTCCTTGTTAACTAGAATGCCTGACTCTAATTACCTTCTTTTTTGAAGAAGATATATCTTAGTGATCCACATAATATTTTCATCAATGATTATGACTGTTTAAACCATTTGGTAAATAAGATATAGCAATGTTAAATGTGCGTGTCTTTGGTGTTCTTTCTAAAACCACCTCTTTTTTATTATTAGAAGTAGTAGCAGCAATAGTACATATATGCAGAAATTCAGATAATTCGTAGGGTTTACATATTTTTTCTGTGCTGTATGCGCTGTATCTATTTGTAAAGTATAATCATTCATAATATGACATAACAAATATAGAACAATAGCAATTTTATTTTTATTGACAAGTTAGAACAAAAAAAAGCAACGAAGAAATAATGCAAAGACCGTTCTTAAGTAACTGAAACAACAATCCAGTTTTGGACCATTCAATGATAGTAACTAAAGGAAGGAACAGGGATCAGTAAAAGCCATATATAAAGGCAAACAGCCAAGTAGAGGATAAATATATATAAATGTATGTATATATGTGTGTGTGTGTGTGTGTGTGTGTGTGTGTGTGTCTGTGTGTATGTACAGTATATATACAGGTCTACCTGCAAAAGGCTTTTTACTTCTATTTAGCTAGTATTGTGATTTACATGCTACACTGCATACCATTTCATATTTCAGCTCTGCAGCTTCTTTGTTTATTTATTAAGCTACTTTGCTTATTGGAATATTGGAGTCAGCATCATCACACTGGCAATGTAATGTCCAATGAGCAGGTAGGTGACACAGGAAGCTTAAACGCCTAAATAGGAAATTGTGATATCAACTACCTCAGTATGCAGTGCAGCTGGGGTTTGTGAAACACAAGCCTGTATGAAACAGTTACAGTTTATTTGACAAAGAGTTTACATATATGTACTGTGTGTTCAGCTTTTTGCCTGAGTTCCTACTATGTAATACAGAAGCGCTTTCAGAAACCCCATTTGATGCAGTGCATTTCTAGGCAGAAATTCAATGTATCTTTTAGAAAAGTTAAAATGATCATTCAATGATTGTAATCAGAGGCAAAGACCTGTATTGCCTCTTGATATCAAAAGCTGTTTTCTGAACTCAGGATATTTATCAATGCTTCTGTTGTCTGACCATCAAAAAATGACAACCAAAATTCCTCCAGCATGTGGATTTTACATTTTCGTACACTTATTTCTGCAGTTCTGTCCTGGCATTGTGTGCAAAACTATAAACCTTCTTGTGTGATAGAACAAACTAGTGTATGTGTGCGAATGAAGGATCTCTGATTGGTTGGATTATTGTGCACAATGCCCCAAATAATATTTTAATATGTACCATTACTAGCCACAGCTTTGAAAAGAAAATATGCATTATATCTAGGCAAAGGCAGACTTGTGACACTTTTTTTATTTATGACCCTGCATAAGGATATGGAGACTTGTCGACTACGCCTGGATCCAGAGATGGACCGGCACAGGTATGAAAGGAAAATAAGTTTTGCTGGGATCCTTGATGAGAACGAAGATTCAAAAGACTCCCTGCACAGTAGCAGTCACACATTGAAGTCAGACACAGGATACGAGGAAAAGAAAGGTATGGGATATAAACAACCAAAATTATTTTCGTATAATTACATAATGTTTATTGGCTGTCAACAATGTCAATTAATTTCTTGTTTGTACATGGTACAATTTAAAGGAGGTCTTGCAAGTCCAACAAAGCAGGAAGAGACTTCAAAATATCCATAGTGTTGTTATGCACTGAAAATGTTAGAGCTGGTGAAAGGGGCTCTTTAAAACCAAGAATGCATTCAGCTATAACATTGGATTTGACAGATTCCCGAATAAGCTACACAGATGTACAGTCTATAATGCTCTTTGTATCATTTGAGGATATTAAGTGCTAATGGTGGGAATTGGTGTTGACACCAAACTATGCAAGTGATCATTTGTAGCTTGCTATTAAGCCTTACTTGCAGTTATTTAAACTCAAATTTCCTGTTTGACTGTATATGTTCAAGTGGGTTCACATTTACAAGATAGGACAGTTTCATGTTACTAAATGATATTTTTTCTGCTATGCCAAAAGGCTTCTCACAATCTCCATTGCTTGTTAAACTGATGATTTTCGACCTCTCTGGCCTCCAATTGTAATCTATTTACATCAATTTACATCAATTATCTTAAGTCTTCTCTTTCCACTTAAAAGAACTAACACAATCTGTTTATTGTTAATGAATATGTAAGCTAAGAGTGAAACAAGCTAGAAATGTGTAACAGCGGAGGTCAGAGTATGTACTAAATATATATATAAGTATGTTTTTGTGCCACTTTTTGTGAATTTTAGATGAGTGGTGTCATTTTCTTTAGTCACGTGGTGCTGTCTTCAATCAAGCCCCATTTTTGAATTTTTTTCATTTTACCGTTTGTATATCATATTGCAAAACGTGTGATGGAGGCTGGCTTTGTAAACTTTTTATACATTAATGATTTCATAGAGGGATGGACTTTGGAGGCTTATAAAAAGCTTATAAAATGTTGTGCAAAAACAATAGGGCCTTTTTGGGATTAATAAGCCTTCATTATCCCTTCATCAATGAAAAAAATTGGAAAGTTTACTAAACAGCTGACAATTACATGTAATGTTTATACAACTTGGCTTCCTTTCATCAAACTCCTTCACTCAGTTAATGTCAAAATTGTATGACTTTACTGAGTCATATCTCATTTAAGTTGGTCCAACAACACTATGGATAAACATTTAACATGTAACATTTAAAGATGTTCCTAACTATGTACAGACCTTGATAGAAATTAAGATTTTTGACATTTTATATAATGACTATAAAAATATATAGAATGACACGTTATGTCATTTTGAACCAGGTTAGCCGCCTTGCCTTGTAGTGCAGGATTTTTTTTTTTTTTTCAAGAATACATTTTTATTTATTTCATATCATATACAATTTCTTTATACAATTAAATACGTAAAAGAATAGTACCAATGGCATCTACATCCAACTGCTATCTCTTATCCATTATTGCTTATTTAACTAATATTTTAATCACTTCTATGTTAAGCTAAGTCACCTTCATAGATACTATTATATCTGTTATAACAAGAAAACATAACAGGAAATTACAAATTTAAAAAACAAAAAAAAAAAAAAAAAAGAAGCTATACACTCCCACTACCATTCACAGTCTTGTGCCTATGCTCTCGCTCCTACATTACAACCTATCATCCTCCCCACTTCATCCATTCTCTCAGCCCCTCCCTCCCCCACCCCCCCTTCAGTACCCCTTCCATGATAGCTGCACGGAAGCGATCCAAACAAGCACATAATAAAAACAAAACAAACAAAGGCACCATCAGCTTGGACATGTATGCGTTTCTTGTCTTCTTGGGTTTCCTCCCACAAACCAAAACATCCTGATAGTTTAATTGTCTTGTGTGATAGGGACATTAGACTCAAGCAGGGTTATTTACAAAAGGGTGAAGAGTTTGGAGAAGGCAGGAGAAGTGAACAATCTAGGACAACAGAGCCGACTTGGAAAGTGAGCTGAATTGGAGAATTTTTCCAAATCAGCTATTTTGGCTTAGATTGTTCACTTCTCCTGCCTTCTCCAAACTCTTCACCCTTTTGTGAATAACCCTGAAGGTGTTATTGGGAGCAAGACTGATTTGATTTATATTAATTGTTTATATTCGGTATACAAAATAACTGTTAGGGGAAAATATACATGATTCAACACTTCTGAAAATACTTGTTGCCTAGCAATGTTTTCTGAATCACAGGCCTGGAGAAAGAATACAACAAGGGAATTCAGACGTGATGTGCACATCCATTGCATATAATTAATTAAGAAAACATTTAGGGTCAGCATGACAACCAGAGAACTAGCATTTTCTGTAGGAGACCTACAATGGAACTTCCTATTTCTCTCATGATAGGTGCCCTTTATGTGCTGTGTAATGAATATTTCAGCCTGGTATACATACAAAAAAAATCAATTTCATAAAGCTTTATATTTTCTTTCAGTGCTAGGTTTTCGTCAATCAGAATACAAAATTCTGATTGAAGAAAACCTGTTCCGAGGGTAGAATGTAGGCTGCCATTGCTTGACTTCCTTCTAAGAATACTAGTTGTCTAACTATCATTGGCTTCAGTACTTTCTGAGATATTGACCTGGAACATGCGTGCAGATTGGGACAGCAAGAGTGTCAGTCAGAACTCTTAATTTGCATACATGTTCCAGTATGTTGAAGAATGTACTTAGGCCATTAGATTAGCCAGGGAACTTGTATTTTAAAAAGGTAATAGTTGCAGCTTCCTTACTTATTCAGCTCAGGTTTCCTTTCAAGTTAACCAGTGCTTTGCCCAAGCAGGTTAACTTTATTCCTCCCCTAACCACAAAGAAAATGCATTGCAGTTGCACTTAGCAGACTAGGTACTGTATGTACAAAACCTTAAATCCTACTCCATCTTCTGACTCCAATCCAACTCTTCTAAAAGTGATCTACCACTGTAGTCCAGGCCTGCTGCCAAGCAGTGGTGTTGTCATAATGTCACCATGCCACCACTGGAATCTTCAGGACCTGTAAGGATCCCATAATGGACAGCTATTGGGAAGAGTCCATGTCACCAGGCAGTGATGTGAACCACTGAAGAAGGGCCCATTGACTCTGCAGTTCTTTTCTGCAGTGATTAGCTACATTGGGTGGGGGGCATTGTTTGTGGGGGAGAGTGGTCCCTTGCCAGACTTTCACTTGAATCACCTTTTTAGTACTCAACCACACTTACCTGATCCAGTGAAATCCAGTGGCATGGCTAAAGAAGCATGCTGCCTGTCACACTTAGCTTAATGGGCCTGAATATTATCTGACCAGACATTGGAAAGCTTTTAAAAGCAATGTTAAAGGGACCTTGTCAGGATAGAAATATGGGAGCGGTTTTTGATTATTTGTTTCTATACATGTAGGTTCTGAGGCTCTCATTAATCTTGCTTCCCCAGTTATTAGGTGAACAACTTACAACAAGCCAATAAAGTGTATCAATATCTGATATTCTCCATTTCATTGACTTACCAAGGTGTGAAGAAAGGATATAAGTATGGCATAACCAGAACTTACATTTCCAAAAAAAACTTTAACAGCTGCTTCCATATCTCAATCATGTCACATTCCATAGTAAATAGTAAAAATGGAAGATAAATGATCTCACATATCTTAATTTCTGAGATTTAAATGTCTGAACGATTTTAATGGTATTATAAGATTAAAAGCAAATTCAAAATCATATTGAAGTCTGGTTCACACCAATTGTTTTGCATTTATTTAAATGTTTTCATTACAGTTAATATCAGCAGTATAGTTTGTAAAATGATTACAGTCTCTATGAAAAGTCTGTGCTGTACAGATACAATTTTCAATTTTTTAGTCACAGTTTGGTGGAAGGATAGCGATGGTATAAATAGCAATGTGATATATTGTGCGTGTGTTTGTTTTTTTTGTTTATTAAGAAGGAGAACCAATTCAAATGCTTTATCTGATGAAGTCACACTAGTACAAAAACCAATGCTTTTTTTATAATAATGTATTTACCATCTCAAAGAATTCTAGTCAGTTATTACCTAAGATAACCATACACTGCTAGAACAGGAGCTCCCACAGGGCTGAACAAGAGAAACTTGATGCCCCCATCCAAGAGAGATTTCTCAGTGTGGATGAACTCCACTGATTGGTTGCAGTCACTGTTCAGCTTTCAATTTTCCACCCGGCTCCTTCGATTGTGTAATTAAAGTTTATGGAGCCGGTAGTGCCAACAAGGTGACTCACAGCTTGAATTTCTGCCAAGTTAAAAGAAATTGGCTAAAATATGAACCATGTATGGCTAGAATTACAGCAACAGTTATCTTATTTTGTCAGATAACTGCTGCTGTTAACGTTCTTGTTTTGATTAGAGCACAGGCTCACATTACAACAAATAACATATATATCCCTTTCCTTATTGTCAGAGGTGAGAAAAGCCAATCAAAAAAGCCCCTCTTTGTAGAAACTGAGTCCTACTCTCTTACAAAAGCAATAATCTCCTTAATTTAAGAAAATATAAAAATAATTTATTAACAAGAAAGTGTTTTTGGGCATGCAATTCACTCACCTGTTTATACTCAAAGTGTATCTCTAGCCAAAACTTTTATTTTTTAACATTTTAGAGCAGAAAAACGTGTTCTTTTGCTGTGTGACCCTGTTTAAGAGATTCTCCTTCACTTTCTTTTCCGGTGATAACATTCCCTTCAAGACAGAAAGTAAAGGTAGATCTCTCCAACAAACACAAAAACACTTTATTAGTAGGGTGGCGGATGACTAGAACCTTCATTAAAGCAGGCCAGTTGCTATTCTTATTAAATTAAAGTGACACTAATCTTGAGTTAAATCTTAAAAATACATTCAAGTACCTTAACTATTAACAGAAATGTATCTTATTTGTGCTTCACTCACCTGTAGATCCTCAAATCATCTCTTAATTGGTGCTGACACTGTCATTCCTTCTGGAGTGTGGCTACTTTTCTTCCCTATAGTCCCTGTGTGTGTTGTAAAGTAGCCACCGCTCAAAGCTCACTTCTGTGGTGGACTGCAATATCATGTTTAGTTTACTAATTTCTATTGAGATTGTAGTCCATCACGGGAGCAAGCTTGGAGTGCTGGCTGCTTTACAACACACACAGGGACCATGGGGAACAACAGTAGCCACCCTCCGGAAAGAAGGACAGTGTCAGCACAAATTCAGAGATAATTTGAGGATCTACACCTGAGTGATGCACAAATAAGCTACATGTTTACATTTACATAGTTAAGGTACATGAATGCGTTTTTAAGATTTAACGCCTGCGTTAAAGTCGCTTTAAAGACACACATTCTCTAAAAGAAGAAATTTAACACTTACGTTTCTGGTGGGAGATGAACTACATTTTTGCTCTCTTGAAGAGCTAAAGGTGCCACTGCAATCCCGCTTCTAGGTGTGTTAGCATGATCGTGGCCAAGAGCTGTGGTTCCTCCAGTTGGCCGCTATGACACAACTGTGTCCTGTAGTGATGAATTGGCCAATGGAAGGAACCAAGGTGCTTAGCAAGGGAGTGGATATCTGACACACCTGGTGTCAGGTACCAGTAGTGGCCAACCTGAAAGGTTGGTATTAAATCTCTTCTTTTACAGGCTGCTTGTCTTCAATTGTAATGCTTTCTTGCTGTCTTTATGCGTAGTAGAGATTTCCCTTCATTCCTTCTCACAGCAACAGCATTGTTATCGAGACAGGATCTGAAGGAAAATTTTCCCTAAACAGTTACAGCCAGCAAAAAAAAAAATGTTTGGACAGAGATACTCTATAATCTCACAGTGTCTGGATTAATGTTGCAGTGTAATATAAAATGTACCATTTTGAATCCTGAATTTTTGTGGCCAGTCAGAGAACGGTCAAGCGTTCCATTTCTAAATATCCAACCCACTGATTTTCAGGCGATTGCAAATTGCTGTATGAACACTATGATCTGGTTTTGGAAAAGATTTGCTTAATCAGCTTATTTTTACAACTTGCAGACAAAATGACATTATCAGCAAAAGCAAAAGTACACATAACCTCTTATTTTAAAAATGTTCCCATTAGCTTTGCTTAAAACTGAAATAGCAAAGGGCTATCACATAAAAGACTGTGGATGAAGAAAATGAAATCAGGTTATACCTGCCCTTTCACAATTTATTGACAACCATCCAATAGCAATTTTTGTAACTGGGCAGTGTCAGTTCTTTTACTCTTAACTTGATTTATATGTTGTATTCCTATAGCAAGGGCCTGTGTTGACGGTGTTTGGTCTTGTGTTAATTGCATTAGTTTGACATCAGTTTGAAACTCTTCTGAGAGCATTTAGGATTCATTGCCAGGTGCATTTGATCTGAAGTTGACCTCCTTCTGACTTGCATTTGACCCTTTTCAAGTGGGTATTGCATTCCTATAGACTTGCATAGTATTGCAAAGTTTCCCTGAAGTGCACTAAAGCCCATCAGCACAGATCCCAACTGAACTAAAGTGTATGTAAAGAGAAAACTTTTTTTTATTTCTGGGTGGAGTATGAAAGGGTTCCCTTGTCAAGTTTGTATTGCCTTTGTCCTTGTTGAGGAGATTTACCCCTCTATTTCCCCTGGTAGCCTTTTTTTACCAAGACAGAAAGTTAGGGGAAATCCAAAATTGTAGAGTTGTCCTCAGAACAAAAGGTGAGTGTAAATCACCATTCTAGTGACAACCATGTAAGAAAATAATTCTCCCCACTTTATGGAGATTTACTCTTACTTCCAGTTGTGTCTCCAGCACAGTAAGTAAATGGTAATGTCCCCAACGGCACACAGACAGCAAATACTAAAATGTTTAAGCCCTTTATTACTCAATCCAAGATGAAACAACATTTTGCCTATATATACACTTTCAATGATACGTTGTGGTTACTGTGAATCCACTCATTCTCTCTCTTCTCTCTTAGTTATACTAAATTTCATACAAATGGATTGTGCAAGGTTCTCAACTTATATTTTTATGTTACTAATACATACCAGGTAATCATTTTGAAGGGAATACTTTTATTAAGCTTTTCCTGTTGGCTGTCATTAGTCCTGACTTTGAATAAAAGAATAGTTGAAATGATGGATTTGTGCAAAAGAAAGCAATCTAGTAAGATGTGTTCACAAACATAGAAGAGGGAACAATTCCTCTTGTGTTCTTTCAATGCAGCTCCCAGCAGGAAGATCAGGATAGGAGGCTCCCGCCTGCTCCAAATAAAAGGAACCCGCAGTTTCCGGGTGAAGAAAGGGGGCTCCCTGTCCAGCATTCGCCGGGCCGGAAGCCTAAAGAGCACCAAATTTACACGGCAGGACTCAGGGTCCGAGAATGATGACATCCAGCTGTCACAGAGCAGGGACACTGTAACTGATATAGGTAATGCAGTGAGAAGCTTTCTAAGGGGAGGTATGGCAGAGAGGACTACACATAGACAGTTTTTGAAAAACAAACAACAACTGGAGTTAAACCAAGTATCTGTTGCTCTCAATACATAGATTCTAAATTGCAGTTACTTTTCTTTCCTCCACTTAAAAAAAAAAAACCAGCCTCATAGGTATAAAAAAAAGATCCACACAGTTTAAAGAAACTCAAATTGTCCACACACGACAACAGTTTGATAAATGTTCCTTGAATGATCAAGGTAAAAGAAAATGCTGCAAATTTCTCTTTTGGTACCAGAGTTTTAAAACCAAGGAAATAATACTGAATCCAACATATATACTGGATGTAAGAACCGCTATTAGAGAAAACTGCTTATTCACACCCAACAAACAAAAAAGTTACATTTTACCCTCTTAATGTTATTTGCCATTTTTTCTTTATAAGTCCATGCAACACACCACAAGATTATTCTTGGACACAAAGTCATCACATATACCCATAGTAACATAAAACGAAATATAGGCAATAGTGGGTTTTTTCATTGCAGCTAAGTATTTTTGATAGTGCTATAATACTTAACAAAGTATTCTTGGCAACATTGTTCTTTGCAGATCAATTGAGTGGTCTGCAGCATCTCCAAGATGCAGGGAATTCGTTCTCCACTTTTTGTCGCATCCCTTTGAAAAAAGGTGACATGTGCCCATAGATGTGCTTGTCTTTGCCAACCCAGCTAGTGATTAGAGGGGGAGGGCGTTGGGTAGATGTGTTGCTCTGTTGTTTTCTCATCTGTGCATGGCTGGGCCAGCTGATACATCTGACCTTCAATTATATTTTTGGGTTGTGTAAATTTATGGCTTATTTAATGTTTGTCTCTGAGAAGAAGGAAGCCCGTGGAGCACTAGTGAACCCAGTATTGAGCCAGATGGTGGCAACACTGAAGAAAGCTATCACCGTAACATGTCTTGGTTGCACGTAAGTAGTAAAAAGTAAAGCAGAGGTCTGGAAAAGTATATGAATATGTAACAATGATGATATCGACTGTATAAAACATGGAGCACCACACTGTAGTAATTGACAACCAGAGATTTGGGGCACACTTGTACCTATGACTGCTAAGTATCTTTTTTTTTTTATCAACTCCTATTTCCTTTTACAATTTATAAATTGTGTCCCTTAACTGTCATAGCACATAACAGCACCAACACAAAGTTCAGAGAATTAGGACAGGTTTACCAAACATATTACACCCACATAACAAAAATAAATAACCTTTTTATGATACTGAAAGAAAATCCTAGATGTCTAAAATGTTTAATGTGCATTTACTTAGAAATACGCCCTTGTCAGAACTAACCATTACAGTCTGTCTAAAGCCAAAACATTTAATTGCTTTGATAAAGTTGGGAAGGGTTGGGACCTTTGTGAAGTTTTCATTGTTTTCTGTGTCCATAAGGCCTTGTTCAGATCTCTGAGGAGTGGATTTGCATACGTTCCCACATTGCACCAGATCGCGTCACACTGTTAGAAGCACTGCGGTGCCATTATTTCATAGTGGCATCCCAACGTGCCTAACCATTGTGTGCTCCCATGGTAACATGATTTCTGTTGCAATGCAATTTTAAATAAAGGGTATGCACTTATTTAATGCAATTTACATGTGGTAGATATCAGTGATGGTAAATCCAAAACTTTGAGTTGTCACCAAAACAGGAATAGAGAGGAAATCTTCCAATGAGAAATACTTTGACTTCCGGTCTTATAGATACAACAGGAAGTGAGAGAAAATGTATCCAAAATAACAACAGAATGTTATCCCTATTCTCTAATTTATCCATAAATGAAAAGGGTTTTGGCTTCAGATATACCTTGAGCCTTGCAATACAAACAGGGAGCACAGATTGCATGTTCTTTGCTGTGTGTCTAAATACAGAAAGCCCAAAGGTTAAATTGTCATCGACGTTTGAATCTGACTGGCATGCCGCCAAATCGTGACTAGGAACTTATAAAGCATATGTTCAGGGAATTCAGGGAGCACGCTACTTCTGAACTTGTGAGTAGGTGTACCAACTCTGACTGCAGATAATTGACGAGAATACACTGAGTGGGCGTTCTGCCCTCAGCACAACTACAGTGTTTGCTGGATGTTAGCTTTCTGGTTGGTTTTTATTTTTGCCTCTAACTGACTGTTTTTTAAAGAAGAGCTCTGGGCAGTTACAAAATTAAGCCTTGCAGTGGGGCTAACCCCGCACTGCAAGGTATAACTGCTCGTTTTGTTCTAGGGTCTGAAATAAAAAAGATTTATTCAACCAGTCCTCAAACCTGCTTGGCTGCTAGACCAGTCCTGGCAGCCTCTCTCCCCATCTGCTTCGGCGGTCTGAGGATCCGTGAGTCCGTGGATCTGAGGGACATTCCACCACCAGAGTGGAGGGGAAAAGAGGTGAGCGGTCTGTAGCGCAGGATCGAGGCTCCGGTGAGTATAACTTCTTATACTCAACTTCTTATTTTAGACTCTAGAGAAATTAACCCTTGCAGTGTGGGATAGCCAAGGTGCAGCCCGGAGTTCTTCTTTAAATGGAAATTCAATGGCTTGGATCAATCCTCTTTTTTTAAGTTTATATGCTTTTACCTAAAGTTTTCTATTTATGTTAATTTAATTTTTTATTACCTAATTAAAATGAATACAGGTTGTGCCCATGACACTAGTGTGTCACAGAACATAATGGGTTTTCTAAAGAGGGAGCACAGCAGCAGCTGTTTGCCATCACACCCCCTCTCGCTAATAGAAATTTTAGAGTACAGTAGGGGATAGGGAAGTGGAGTCACTGCTCTGACTTAGTTGGTTATGTGTGTAGCTTGAACCACTGAGCTCTGTTTTTTTGTTTTGCAAAGCAGATCAGAATAGACAGGCAAGCATGTTGGGGCTAACCCCTCCACATGCAGGCTCAGAATGAAACAACAGAATATTTATATGCAATATTTCATATTTACCTGATAAACAAAAAAATATTTTGTAACACTTTTATTTAATGCTAACCATAATAAATAAAGAAAATAAATGCAAAAGTGCAATTTGCTCCCTTTAACCTGAATATAGTAGCAGAAATGTGTGTTCTACATTGGTTGTGTTTCAATTACATGTTCTTTATGCTTATTAGGTTATGATCCTTTTGTGCAATCAACAAAGCTTCATTTGCACCCACGTGGACTATTGCCACCCACACTGCTACCTTCATCACAGTCGCTCATGTTCTCGGCTGGTCAGAGCTCTCAAGTTGCTCTATGGAGACACAGTGGATTCGCTCAAAGAAGATAACCTGGGTTGTGGCTCTGGTGTTAGAGGCAAAAAAGTTAAAGAGGTATGTGTGTGTAAAATATGTACTGTATATCTCTGGGGTATATTTTCGGGGGCCCTGTCTACCATTCACTTAATCTACCTCCACAAATATCGGAGCCAATTAAGTTAATGTGACAACAATTGGAAAAATGTGGTATATATGTCAGGAAATTACACACTTCAGGAAGTGTAAAGAGAAACTGCTGACAGGTCTAACATAAAGGCACCCAGAGGTACCTACTCATACCTGTGGTAACTTTTAGCACCTCCTGCTTCACCCAAATGCTGGGCCAGTCTAAAAGATAAGGCTCCAGCATTTCTTGATAGTTCTACAGCTTCCTTGCCCCTTCATGCCTCCTGTTCAATCCTACTGGCCAGTTAAGGCAGCCCATCATAGCAATGAGCAGTAGGTATTTTGGGGAAGGAGGGGAAGGCAAGCTCTGACACTACTACCACTACTAAGATTTGGAACATTGCTTGTTAGAAGAGAGTTTCTTTAACCTGTGGATTAAACAAAAAAAGAAAAGAATGTAGTATAATTCACATTATACAATGACAACCTACTGCCTTGGATTACTGTTTACAGGATTTCTTTAGAGTTTCCCTTTATCCTACTCAAAGTTTCAGGGTGTCTTTCCACATAGATTCCAGAATAACTAGCAATAGATACAAAGTTAGACAAAGGCAGTAAAGTTTGTATTTTGAACAACATCAATAATCACAATGTTCAACTACCATGGCACTTCCATGATTGATGTTATTAGTTATCTAGCTGCTAAATCTGCACTTATTATTTTAATCATCACAAATTATTTATCCTAATCAAATAATATTATTAATATATGTTATTATAGATAGTAATTTTAGCATATCTAAAGTCACTTTTTTAACTTAGAGTAGGGAATGGTTAAAACCCCTGTCATTTTGTTTTGCCATCCATATCTTATTGGGAAGATTTATCTTCACCTCCTGTCCCATAGACATAAAAGGAAGGCGAGAAGAAATCTCTAAAAACTGAGGGACTAGACAGTTGAACTGAGAGTTAGACAGTTGTCAGCAGAACAGGTGTCCACATTGGAAGGTTTCCCTCTGTTTCTTTTCTGGTGACAGCTCAAAATTTGGGACCTTTAGTCCCAGTGACAATGGTCTCCAGGACAAATAGAGAATGCATAAATCTCCCCAACAGACACAAACATCAATACAAATTTGAAAGGGTCTCTAACCCTTAACCACTCCATACAAAACAAAAACAAAGTTTTGGTTTTAGATATACTTTAAGGTATTTTGTGATTTACCTGTAAAATGATCAGCTTAAAGCAAATAATGTTATCAGTGTAGATTAATGTTATAAACACCTGTGTTTAATCGTAATTATAGCCATATTTGTTTAGTACCAGGGATGTGCGGTCAGGGGAGGCAGGTGAGGCAGAACCTCACCTAGTATTATGCATGAAAAAGCTGTCAGCTTCAAGTCTGAAGCTGACAGCTTTTTCTCTATTCAGACCGGCTTGCAACAGGTTACACAGCAGGGAAAGCCTCCCCGCTGTGTAACCTTTCATGGACGGAGCGCTGTCTGTTAATTACAGGCGGTGCTGCATCCAGCTTTTGACAGCTAAGTTAGGTTACACAGCAGCGGGCTTCCCCACTGCTTGTGTAACCTAACTTAGTGAGGCAAGAGCTGCAACATCCTCTATTCTATGTTAGAGGCTTGAGCTCTGTGGGATGGTTTGGACCAATGGCAAATGCCATTGGTCCAAGCTGTCCAATAAAAAAAAGTAAAAAAAAAACCACTGAGGACATCGATCTCAATGACATCAATCACCAGTGACGAGCAAGTGAGGGACAGGGAGGCTCCTCCCTGTCTCCTTCCTGCCTCCCTCCCTCCTCCACACATAGCTTGGTGACTGGTTTGGGGGTGGGGCTTCAGCTGGCTGGGGGCGAGAATTTGGTGGGCTGGGGACGGTGCTGGGGAATTCCTCACCCAGCACATATGCCTGCCCTTATTTTTGCTTACAAAGACTGCATAGTGGTTGAGCCTTACCCTCTTCCCCATGTAAGTCTTCCAGTCAGATTTGACTGAAAATAATACACTCTCTGAGAGTAGCTGATATTTTATCTAAGTAGTTGTTAAGCAGGGGGCATTTGCAGTGACATGCATTTGGAAATACGGTACTGGATGGAAGGTACAGGAGGAGTGTGAAAGTTACATGAAATATTTCCTTAGAGTAAACCTTAAAATAAATGTATTAGGATGAAATAAGAAATGGAATTGTTGAAGACAATCAGGTTTAATTTTTTCAGTTTGTAAGTGGTTCTAGAAAATTACGAAAAAGTGTATTAAAGATGCATAAAAAAACATTGCCAAGCTGCTTTTGAATAAATAGAAATGTTTTAATCCAAAAATGAATGCAGCAAGCAGTAAGAGAATTGTGTGTTTTTATGCCCATAGTGCTCAGATAAATCTTGCCTGCGGACCCCATCACTGAAGAAGAGAGTTACTGAAGCTAATCTAGAAGGAAAGAAGGACAGCGCCATGTTGAAATATATAAGGCACCAGGTAAAGGATTCCACAGGATTCTGAACTCACCAGGAATGAACAGAAAGAGGAAAATCTGGTCTCATTACTTTGGGCCTCATGTATCAATGTGTTCTTACTATGAACTGATATTATTTCCCCACAGTAAGCAATCAGATTCAGACTTTCAAGATAGGTGTGATGCTAATAATGGATGTGGTAAAGTAAGTCCAGTTCTTAAGAACAACACCTTGATACATAAACCCTATATTTCTTCAGATACATCTGGCCACAGCAGTGCCAGTGACATCTAATTTTCGAACAGCTTATCTGCTTAGTTCCACCATTTTAACATGCAGAAAGAATGACGGCTACGTTCAACAGGACTTGAGAGAACTAGTCACCCATGAGCATCTGTAATAATCTGGATGGCTATGCTTGAATTGCTATAATAGTACAGCCTCAATGATCAGGGATTGCTTCATTTTTTACGTGATTTTCGAGGATTCTTGGACACAACTCCACAATGCCATTATTTTGTATGGGATAGCTTTCTAGAAAATAATTCAGTTCATCTTCTGGGCTTTGATGTTAATGCGACAGAATGGCCCAATCCAGCCCAATCTAATGGCTCGATGTTACACTTGAATGAAGATCAGGCAGTTACACCTACAACATCTGAAGCCCTCATTATTATAAAGGGAGATTTTCCAACTTTTTGGAAAATCTAATGGGATTTGGCCAATAATGAAAGGAAGGTGGTTTGCACGTGTGTGCCAAATTAGTAATCAGATAATGGCATAACAGAAGCTGTGTGCCTGTTTTTAAAAGACATCTGATGGTCCATGGCAAGCCTAATGTGAAAGTTTTTTGTACCTGAAGTTTACTAACTCATTTGATATTGATGTCTGTCTAGTACTTTCTAAACTACAAATGTCTTCTTTGTATTTGAACTAGGTTATGAGTATGTCCCCAGCTCCCCTGTCATTGCTAATTAAAGCAGCTCCCATCTTAACAGAGGAAATGTATAGTGACATACAACCAGCAGCTTGGGAGCTGCTTCTAAGTGTAGATGAACACATGGCAGGAGCAGCAGGTAAGAAACAATCCTATTTGCATGTTATGCTTTCGTGCATATTATCACTAGGCTTTAACAGCAATCATCATAGTTTAAGGTCTATCTTAAGGGAACACACATGTCCAGAGATGCAACAGCAAGTACTAGTAAATATAAATGTATTAATAATAGGGGCAAAAAGGCATTTGTCATTGGCTAACCAGGAAATGCTGGCCATCAAAAGCTTTGTCAAAGAACCGAGCCTGGAGTGCCAATTGTCTAAAATAGTTAATTTCTCAGTTCCTTGGCATACTCCTTGGATGTCTCTACATTGATAGGCTCACTCCAGCAGAAAGACACTGCTCCAAACCCCTAAGCAAAGGCATAAACGCGGTGTAGGAGGTTCAGCTATATGTGTCTCATTCTGAATCCCTCACAGGAAAAGCCAATAGCTAAATAAACTACTCAATCTTTTGTAGAAACTGTGTTAATCATAATGCTCACATCAAGTGTCTTTTGACATTTGAAGATATTTCAAAACTGAACGTGTTGGGTGGTAAAGTATTTTTTTTCCATAGCTGGAGTTCTGCTTTAAATGTGGGATTTATTTACTAAAGACAAATAGGCTGTTTACTCTGCAAGTGGATTTTCCTTTGCTCAGTAAATGTGGTGAAAATTCACTTTGCAAAAGAATACTCAATCACATGCAAGGAAAACTTTTTTTTTATTTTTTAAACACAGTATATTTGCTTGAACATGATTAGATGATGGAAGTTAGCAGAGCTTCAGCTTATTTACTAAGCTAAAGGAAAATCCCCCTGCAAAATGACTTTCCTTGCAAAGTGAACAATCTTTGTACACTCTTTTTGATTTACCAAAACTATGTAATATGAAGACCTACTTAACTGTCCATTCAAATTGTATCAAGATAGATGGGCCCTTGTGCTACATATTTGTTGATGGATCTAAAGGAGATCGCATAGTCATGTGTAACATGAAAAAAAAAAAGTTTATGCTCGACTTAACTTTGTGTTAAACCTAAAAACAGTGCTGAAGTGCCAGAATGTTACAAAAAATATGTACCACTCCTAAGTCCACTCATTATAGGGACATAGTTGTACAGTGAGGACATCTAGTGGTAAACATTGAATTTTCCATTCAGTGTTTGTGCTGGTGTGAATACACAAATTCAGTGTAATAATCCAGTAACCCCTCTTACATAAGTCTAAAAACATAACACCACCTCCAATCCAGTTAAAGTAAAGGCAAAACCTTTTTTCAGCTTTGGATAGAGTGGGGAAGAGTTTAAAAGCCTATCAGATTTTTATTGCAGCTTTTGCCCCCATTCGGGAGATTCATCCCTTTACTCACCCCAAGACAGACAGGGGAATTTCGTCACCAGCAGAGTGAGAGTAACCATGACTGGAGCAGGTAACACACACACACACACACAGTAGCTGCTACTAGATGTTGTAATGGAAACATGCACCGTTCACAGCATTTGCTGTTACAATTTTGACTTTAAGTTTACACTATGGTAGCTATTTCAGAGAAAAAAGGTCAAGCAACTGGAAAATAAAAGTGTTTAACCCCTTCATGACTGAGCTAGGTTTTAGTTTCTGTTCCTAAATGACTGACACACTTTTTAAATTTGTACATTTTTGCTGTGTGATTCTTCCACAGCAGCAAGTTTTGATTATTATTATTATTTTTAGAATTTTTTAATAATAATTATAGTATAAAAATATATTTATATATACAAGTTTTATTTTCCTAATTTTGTGTACACTTTATTTTATTTATTTTTTTACGCTTTGTAAAAAAAATAAGTGTAAAAAAAAAAAATTTTTTCACTATGACTGCTTAATAAATTAACTTTTTTACATTTTTAGTTATTATCAGGCTGCTCCAAACTTAGGAATTGCTAATAATAACTTTAGAGACTGATCCTGACAGCATGTCAGAATCAGATCTCACTAAAGTTCTTTGATCGTTCCTAGACGATCAAAACTGATACATTTCACTCAAGAGATACATTTGTACCTAGTGGTTGAAATGTATCATTTACCATCGGGACAGGCTATACAGCTGTCAAAACAAATAGCAGAGAAGTGAGTCACTGCTACCTCTCTGCTATCTTCAGCTGTCAGATACGGGATCGCTATTTAGCGAACCCGTATCTGAATGTAAAGGCTTAATTCTTTCATTAATCAAAGAAAGAAGCTTTTAAAAAAGCTTAACTATTTAATTAATGAATGCCTCAATAGTGAGGCATTCATTAATGACTGGAACTGCTGAGAATCAGCAGTTACCAGCATTACAGAGGCTAATATAACTCGGCACGTACAGTGTACGTGGCCAGTCATATAGCCACTTTGTGACGGGACGTACACTGTACGTCTCCCGTCACGAAGGGGTTAAAGGGGAAAAAATACTCAAGTGGAGGCTGCCTGGTACAATGCAGAGTTTGGATCACTTGAAGATTACATCAAGTCTGATGTTGCAAGAGTCACTGTCCCTCTTAACATGACTCAGTGATCTTTAGTAGTTTTGATGGGAAAACGAGAGCACACATCTGCTGGTGCAGCCATCTTTTCTTCTCCCTGGCGGGGAGCTAAGTGTACCCAATCAAAAGATATAAGGCATGTGTTGTAGCTGTGCTGGAATATTTTACTATACCCAGGGGACACATCTTTGATGCCAACTATCCTGAGTAGATCTACACTTCCATATAACAAAGTTTCACAATCTGAAAACCAGCATATTATTTAGCAGAATTAAAATATGATTTGTTTGAAACTAAATATGATATATATCTGATGTTTGTATACTTCTCCTAAGAAGTCTAATGTGACTTCTGGACCTTGTAATGTAGGTGTGTTTGGTGTCTTATGGAGTGGTATTGTCTTCTACAATAACGTAGCCAATGTTTAGAAAGGTGACTCCATTACTGTAGGAGTTATGGAATATGAATGAAATGTATTTCTTTAACTGCACTCCAGACCATTTAGTACTTGTCTATTTACAACAGGGCTTTACCAGGAGACCCGTGATTATTTAGGTTTATAATGTCTCATAGACAGGAAATTTTAATCTGACCAACTTGTGAATTTAAGGGAAAATTAGGGTGACACTGTGTTTAGTACCACTCCCCAATTCTCTTCACACAGTTTGAAGTGTGTGAGACCTCACTATGGTCACAGGCATGTCAAATGAATACAGATCCTAAATAATTTGTACCTTTAGTATTTGACTTGAGCTAACCTTTAAAGCACAACTAAAGACAAGACATTTTATTTAGCTTTTGATAAGGCGCAGAAGGATTATAGTCTCTGTTAGGTTTTTCATTATTGTTTGTGTCCCTACTGGGGACAGAACATGAGAGGAAATATATCCAGTGGGCATACAGAATAACAAGGAGAGGAATGGTTAGAACTTGCTATATGTGCTTTCCTGTCGAATCGACACCACCCTCACACTTCTTGTACAGTCTTCACAGGAACAGGAAAGGAAAGGAAATTTCCTCAATGGGGTCAAAGACAGAAATAAAAATAGACATTTAAACTGCTCTTTATCCAAAAAGAAAAACATCTAAACAGAAATTGGATCTGGAGTTAGGTTTTAATAAAGTACACAAATGTAACCTATTGTATGTCTTTAGCCCCAGGTTTTCCCTTCCTGTGTGTTATAGAATCAATACCTCCTTCCATGATCTGTCTTCTTTCTCTCTAAAGAGAGAGTCAGAAGAATTCTTCCTTTTTTCTCAAAATATCTGTGCCCGTTTGTGACACTGGGGTTTTATTCATCTTTAAATGGTGGTAATAAAACATTATTGATGGCAATGTATGTAGTAAATGAAAAATCATTTGCTTTCTTGCAGCTGCTATGTTCCTGCTTTGTGCTGTCAAGGTACCAGATGCAGTCTCTGAGATGTTAACATCGGAATTTCAGCACCCAGAAGCAGGGCAGAGGCTGAATGCTATTTTAAAATTCCACACACTCTGGCGGTTCAGATATCAAGTCTGGCCAAGAATGGAAGAGGGAGCCCAACAGATCTATAAGGTTTAAAATATCATATTGTTTGTCTAAGAAGCAGTAATGTGATCATATGGCATCATTCAAAGGATGACTATCATTCATCTAAATTTACAGATCCCTCCTCCCAGCATAAACTTTACTTTACCCTCTCCCATCTTGGGTATGCCATCAGTACCCATGTTTGATCCGCCATGGGTTCCACAGAGTAGTGGAAGCGTACAGGACCCAATTAGTGAGGACCAGTCTGTAAGTAACTGACTATCACACAGTTATCTACTATATGTAAGTCATGTGATGGTGGTTAAATGATACAACAGAGGACTGTACTCTATTTTGCATAGACAGTGTCTCTTTCTCTTCCTGAGTAAATATTTGGTTTATAGTTAAGATTATAACCTTGTATAATGGAATGTGCTCTTACAATATTTTAACTCTAGAAATCATTCTCTGCTCGTGCTGTGTCCCGATCCCACCAGAGGGCTGAACATATTCTGAAGAACCTCCAGCAGGAAGAAGAGAAGAAGCGGTTGGGGAGGGAGGCCAGTTTGATCACTGCAATACCGGTCACACAGGAGGCTTGCTATGAACCAACATGTTCTCCTAACTCAGAACAGGAGGAGGAAGGTGCGCTTGGTGCATATAGTCTATAATAATGATACACAAACATATATTGTACATACTGTAAACATTGTGAATACACACCAATACCATTATTATCACCACATAAGGTATTATCTTTGTCAACTAGGCAAAACACAATTACGCAAAACTAAGAAGTTAGTTCCGGACTTCATGTATATATTAGCTACAACCCCAATTCCAAAAAAGTTGGGACGCTGTATAAAATCTACATAAAAAGAGAATGCAGAGATTTGCAAATCTCATAAACCCATATTTTATTCATGATAGAAAACAGAAAACGTGAGGAAATGTACCATTTAAAAAAAAGGAAATTTTGAAATTGATGGCAGCAACATGTCTCAAAAAAGTTGAGACAGTGCAATAAAAAGCTGGCAAAGTAAGGGGTACTGAAGAAGTACAGATGGGCAGAGGTTCACCAACCTGTTATAAGCTGTGTCTAAAAATTGTCGAACAATTTCAGAAAATTGTTCCTCAACATAAAGTTGTAAAGACTTTAAATATATTATCATCTACAGCAGGGGTCAGAATTTCAAGTCCTGAGCTACTAGCTAGGCCTTAAGAGTTTACTCGCCACCAGTTGCCCCACCTAACCCATACCCTGCCCCGGCCTTAACTCCGCCCCTAAACACACCCTCTTAAATAATCTTATAAATGACACTATTAGATGCTTTATGTAAAATAAAATTACAAAAATAAATATTAACAACTTTAACAATATTACCCTAAAGGTCCCTGCCCCCACATATAAAATAATACACTCTCCTCCCTGTTCCCTGCCCCCTCACACATAAAATAAGAAGCCCCCCTGTTCCCTGCCCCCTCACACATAAAATAAGAAGCCCCCCTGTTCCCTGCCCCCTACAATATTTCGGATAAAAAAAACAACTACCACTCCAATATTAACAAAGGTATTTTGCTTTTTAACTTCATCATAACGAATGTTCGTAAAGTTACGAAAATATAACAGCCACTAACAAAAATTCGTATTTCGTACAAATCCGAATTATGTTCAGTTACGAATACGAAATAACGGATATTCCGAAATGAAACGAAACGAAACAGAACAAATTTTTTGACGGCGCACAAGTCTAATTTCCACTCGCCAAATGCGAGCAGGCAGTGGAAATTTTGAGCCCTTATCTACAGTACATAATATCATTAAAAGATTCACAGAATCTGGAGAAATCTCTGTGTGTAAGTGACGGTGAAGGTTGAAACACAATATGGATGCCGTGATCTTTGGGCCCTCAGACAGCACTGCATAAAAAACAAGCATGATTCTGTGATGCACATCACTGCATGGGCTCAGGAATGCTTCCAAAAATAACTGTCTGTGAACAGAGCTGTAGCTAGCCTATTTTGCGCCCGAGGCAAGAACAACGATGCAGTATACCGCGAGCTACAGCTCGCGGTATACTGAGACACCGCAACTGAAGCTGATCCCGGCAATTCTCTCTGCATACATCCAGCTGCGGGATTAACAGCTGGCTCTGCCTATCCAGAGGCAGAGCCAGCTGTGCCCGCCCCCTCCCCTGTCCGTTCCGCCAGTCAGCGTTGGAGGATCGGAGAGGGGGGGAATCCCTGCAGAGTGCCGTGAGTGACAGTTACGGCTCTCTGCAGGAATAGATCAAGAAGTGAGCGAGCAACGGTATGTGTTCGCTTACTTCCCGATCTATTGAGCCGACGTGTGACAGTTTCATTGTCACAGGTCGGCTCAGATTATAATTCTCCTTTAAGCCTGTGACACACTACACACAAAGCCGTGCAGAGCAAAGCAAAGCTGTCAGGCATGGAGCTTCGCATGCAGTGTGTGAGCTGAGCGTGGCCAGATGAAGGACTGCATCGTCAGCCAATTGGCTCGAGCGTAAAACCGAATGGTCTTCGCATCTTGACGCGTGGGTTTATACGCGCGAGCCGATTGGTTGAAGATGACATTTTTAATCTCAGCACACTCAGCTATGCACGCTCTAGCATGCTGACGTGCCGGAGACAAAATTACATGACACACTGCATGTGAAGGCAGCGCGCCACCGATCCGCGCTGCTTCGCGTGCAGTGGGTCACAGCCTGAGGGCCCAGTCACACGTGCATGCAGCATTTTGGCAGATCACACTGGACCAGAACGCAGTCACTGATGTGCCACGCATTCTGGTGACGGCTATCGCACTGTGGGTGGGGGGCATGGCTGTGGTGCCATTGACTTCAATGCACTGCAGGCGGGAGCTCTCCCGTGTCCCTCTCTTCAGTTCTCACCGCTGGCAGCGTGAGAGAGCTGCGGCACCGCAGGCTCCTCAGATCGGTGCTGGCAAAAAAAAAATCTTCGGGCCCGCGGCGCCCCCAACTGGCGGAATACCAGTGTCCTGGCTACACCCCCACCCAGCCTGCACCCGAGGCGAGTGCCTCACTCGCCTCGCCCTTCCTACGGCCCTGCTGCATCCCCACCCAGCCTGCACCCGAGGCGAGTGCCTCACTCGCCTCGCCCTTCCTACGGCCCTGTCTGTGAACACAGTTCACTGTGCCATTCAAAAATGCCAGTTAAAGCTGTATCATGCAAAGAAGAATCCATTTCTTAACATGACCCTGAAATGCCGCCATCTGTGGGAAACAAGTGGGAAACTGTTCTGTGGTCAGACAAATCAAAATTTTAGTTTCAGTTCAAAAGCCTGTTTCTCTGATGGTATTGAGGTGCGTTAGTGCATATTTAACACAGCGTCCCAAAATTTTTGGAATTGGGGTTATATTTAAATGAAGTTGTCCCTATATCCTTTAAAAACATACAATTTGTGTGAGGGTTCCAAAATATCCTATTCATGCAAAAAGAAGAATGAAGCTGAAATTTGGAAGGACACCTGAGGGAACCCACAGAAGTGAATTTAGCTAATGTTTCTTGCGATGCCAGAACAAAACATTTTTTTCTAGTTTTGTATAGAGTTTGGAAGGGTTAGAACCTCTGTTGACCACATGGAAGAAATAGTGATGGGGAATCCAAAATGTTATGGTTGTCACTAAAACAAAAGTATGTCAGGACCGGATGCAGATTCCTTGGTCAGAGTGTATAGTGGCGAGTTGCTTTACCTTTAGCAGCCGCGTTTCCCATAAGGCAATATATGCCTCCTGATACTCTGTGCCCCCTGGACTTCAACTATACACTCTGGCCATAAATGTTGCAGGCGGCCCCCAGGAACAAAGGGGTAGTACTGACTGGAGACAAGGTACAAGACAAACAGAATTCAAGATACAAGACAGGAACAATAAACAAATACAAGAAACAAAACAGGTACAGAACTAAAGATCCAAGGAAAGACTAGGTTTCAAGTTCAAGACAGGACTACGATCCAAGAAAGGTACAAAATTCAAGGTATACAAGATCAGGATACAGGCTTGTGAAAACAGAGCAAGACAAGACCAGACTAGACTATCACAAGTCCAGAGTCCAATTAAGCACCACTAACTAACCGCCAGGCTCTACATGCCAAGGGGCATGTAGCCAGCCTGATCATCCCACAGCTGACTAGAGTGGAGTAGGTGCAGTGACAAGTGCTGAGGGGTTGCGACAGGCATAGGAGCATTTGACATGCTCCTAACAGAGTAGAGGGGATATCTTCAAATGGGGACCTGTGCTCTCATGACAACCATTAGATATAGGGATGTTCCCTCATTTTGGGGAGCTTTTTTCTTACTTCCTATTGTGTCATGACATGTGTCATGTGTAATGACAGGAAGTGCACGAAGATCTCACTAATGTTCTAACTAGTCCCACTCTATCCAAAACTGCAAAAAGTTTTGACTGAATGTACACTCTACTTTTACAATATCTAGCTTTTGTACGTCTAGTTAAAACATATTAATAGTGAATGTTAGTTAGCTATCACATTGAGACCAGCTGTTGACAGAGGTCATTATTGTGTACTATTCATTAATCATTGGTCAGACAGAGCAGGTTTCACCTCTTTAATTTTGATTGCCAGTAGAAGAAGCCGCTAACCTGAATTCCCGTCGCCTATCAGTGAGTCCATCCTGCACTTCAAGCACATCTCACCGTAACTACTCTTTCCGCCGTGGCTCTGTGTGGTCAATACGCTCTGCAGCCAGTGCTGAAGGTCAGTATCAGACATTGCTAGTACCATCATTCAAAAATCTCTGGTGGTATAATGAGATTACAGTGCAGAAACCCTTTTCTATATTAATCAGATGAGGAGCATGGTACAGAGCATACCGGAAACCATCATGTGTCTCAGCCACCACAGCCTGTGTTCCCAGCATGCATCTGTGCTGCTGTCCTGCCAATTGTTCACCTTATGGAGGATGGAGATGTTCGTGAAGATGGTGTGGCAGGTAAACGTTCTATCTGATGTATTTTTCATCCCACTAGCATACTTTTCAACAGGTAACTTGAAAGGGTTTTTTTCCACACAGAGCACTAGAGAAACAAGATGGAGAAAACCACGGTGCTTTCAATAAAACCTAAGCAACACTTGTCTTTCCAGTAGTTCTGCCTCTTCAAAGATTTAAACAAACTAAAAAATATACCAGGAGATTGGATAGTTGTTTGAAATAAACTAGTAAATACAATCATTTAGCGTTTCAACTAATGAATAATGATATGAATATACATCTAAAAAAGCATATATGAGAAGCGTTGCCACATACAGGTGAAACTCGAATAATTAGAATATCGTGCAAAAGTAATTGCAGTAAGTGCTGCAAAAGGGGCCCAAACCAAGTACTGAGTACATATGCATGCTTGTACTTTTCAGAGGTCCGATATTGTTCTATGTACAATCCTTGTTTTATTGATTGCATGTAATATTCTCATTTTCTGAGGTTGTGGATTTGGGGTTCTTGGGGTTTTCATGAGCTGTAAGCCATAATCATCACAATTATGACAAATCACGGCTTGAATTATCTTGCTTTGCATGTAATGAGTCTATCTCATATATTAGTTTCACCTTTTAAGTTGCATTAGTGAAATAAATGAACTTTGCACCATATTCTAATTATTCGAGTTTCACCTGTATATAGAGAGAAAATAGTACTGAAACTTATTGGCTTATAAAAAAACGGTCCTGTTGTTAGTTAAATCACAATTAGAGAAAATACAAAACCAGATTACAAGTAAGGTAAGGAATAGCCAATTAGGCTAAATATGGCCAAGTCTTATCTTGTATTAATTTAGGGACACCTCTGTTGAAAAAGGTGCAAGTGTAGGATGCATACAGGGTATATACTCCAAAAAGGACACATATACTGCATACTGTACATAAAACATGTTGTACATATTTGTCTGCAATTCACCGTTAACTGCAGAAAGAAGTCAGTTCTTCCTTGGATAATGATGTTGCCACTTTAACAAACTGTATATATATTGGAAATATACCTCAAAAGGGCTTTTAGAGATCTTGTCAATTGGAGACTGTGCCATAATTTTTATTTTTTATTTATTTTTGGCACTGGACCAATGTTTCTTTTCCTTTCTTCATATTCATTTTCTTCTGTGCTACCTGTAGTAAGTGCAGTAGCCCAACAAGTGCTCTGGAACTGTTTGATTGAGGACCCATCTACTGTGCTAAGACACTTCCTTGAGAAACTCACCATCAGCAACCGACAGGTAACATTCACTTTTTTTATCGTGTCCCTTTTGTCAATTTACACGTTGCTTCTTGATGGGCATTTCCTCCATTTGGATTTGCCAGTCAGCGATAAAGACCATATTTTAAAACATCTTCTAAATTAAAAGGAATAGTATGATCATTAATATATTATGACTGGACTTTTGATTACAAAAGGAAGTGTCATTTAGGGCCAAGATGCTATTAGAACAAATAAGGGACAGAAGCATAAGTATCATAGGCCTAATTTTTTTGTGGAGCTAGGAAACTGAACATTTGCTGTTCCTCTTGTTTAAAACTGTAGTTTTCCATTCATGTTTAGTTGGTTGATGAAAATTATAATAGTTGTCTTGCCAGGACATACTGATATCTCACATTTGCTATGTTCTCACCTGCATGCTTACCTGCATGCTCATTGTATCCTGTTAGCTGACTTCTTTATGTAAGGGTGCCACCTGCCCATTTTTTCCAATCTAAATGCTTTTTTATTTTCGTTTTGTAAAGATTGTACAACAAAACAGCCACCTGCCCAGTTTTATCTTATTTTTCTAGTTCAGTTGAATTTTCTTCTCTACAGACCAGAGCATTACCCGTGATGCCGCAAAAATAGCCATAACACAGTGTTTCCTCTTCCCATTATGACCACAATGCCTGGCTGAGCTGCAAACTGGAATGTGATCTCAGCTAGTATGAGACTGCTAACTCAGAAAGGGGAAAAGACGCTCTTAATTTAATTTGTAGGGTATCTTCTGTCACTGCAGGATCTTTCCTACTCTGACTATATAGTTGATTTTATTCTCATGCCACAGAGCTATCTAAACACTTATTAGCATTCACCTCATTGACAGAAGATTGATTTCATTGTATTGTGAATTACATGATTCCAAGAACAATGTTAAATCACTCAATAGCATAACATTATAATTACCCGTTGTGGGAATCAGCTTTAAACGTAGAGTTTTCAAAGAAGTATTCCAGATGCCAAAAGTGCATTTAAAGAGGAACTTTACCCATATCCATGAAATGAAAACAAATACAGCTTTAGAAATGTTTAGTAATGACAATCTATAAACAGATACTTCTAGATAATTCCCGGCTTTTCATTCTTTGCATACCCTATTTTTCTTTTTCCCCCCGTCTCTTCACAGTGGCCATTATTACTAAGGGCGGATTAATATATCTCCCTTTACTTCTTGGAACTCTGGCAAATGTGACTAGGACATGTGACCGTGCACATCATCTCAGGGAAGGAAAATGCCCTTCCCTATGATCTCGTAAGATTACAGATGAGATTTCCCAGTTATGCACTTCTGATGTAATCTTTCCAGGATGCAATGCTTGGACATATTACATCACTAATGCCCAAGAGGACCCGGAAGAGCTGCATGCTGATAACATTTTTAGTGAAAGGGGGTAAAGGTCCGCTTTAAGGGTTTCCTGCCCATTTTTATTTCTCAGCGTTGATAGCATAATCCATAAACACCAGTATGCACTGATTGATATCAGAGGACCAAACCACTGGCCCTATTAGGTCTATTACTTCTGCGATAAAAAGGAACCTCATTCATGACCAATTAAACCAGCAGGCGGTGATAATGGGTCATAGAAGCAGACATTTGACACTTGAAACAAGACTTAAAATAGTCTTTCAAATCTGGATATATCCCAGGCCAAAATAATAAATGCTGTAAAATACAATAGAAAAATGTATTTGGACAGCTGTAAAGTTCTCCCAAGAGGCCACTAGCTCCGGCATGCCAGTCACCTTGGAACTCTCTGGGGACACCTCCTGCTTGCCAGGTAAAACTGCTAGAAGTGTAATTACTGGAATTATCTTGGTATCAGCCTCTTTCAGCCCCTATACAATACAGCTAAGACTGGGAGAGGGAGAAGCAGCACAAGTAGCCATTCAAGTGTAATGCAGTGCTCATGTGCTCAAAATAACCATGCTGATAGAAGAAAAAAGCAAATTGACAAAGAGTTGAGCTCATAAGTCTGCTGATTCTTTCTAGTCACAGATTGGGAAGGGGGCAAGACGTGTAAGTTTAAACAGCAGCCGGGAAGAATCAGGTCTCTTGCCGTGCCAGATAGTGCTGCATAGTTGGGCAGAGCTGTGTAGATCTCAGGAATGGAGGAATAGAATAATGTTTGTAGTATACACGTACTGTTTGTGTTTTCTGATGGATGTGGTTGGCTGTATGGGATGTATAACTTAGGATATACCTTTTTTTCAGGATGAACTAATTTACATGTTGAGGAAGTTGCTTCTGAACATTGGGGATTTTCCTGCACAAACATCACACATATTGTTCAACTACCTGGTGAGCTGAAGATGTATATTTGGTGTACTTTAAAATACTTTTCCTGTTTTGTTTTAATGATAACACAGAACCATAAGTATCCTTATATGCATGTTGAAAATATCTAAATTGGTCCTCCAACCAAAACTTTCCTGTGCTATATGGAAAATGTTCACAGAAATATGTGAAAAAGCACTACAAAGATGACACCAAGAAAACAGGTTGCAGGTATCATGGGAGGACTGGAAATAGGAGAGGTCTATTGTTGAAATAATGGACAGCAGATCACCACTAATTCATGACGACCAAATCTAAAGAAAGTTGTGCTTTAGTTCATGTTATATTCCATATATTCATGTTGTATCTCTTAACCATTGTTTTTTCAGGTGGGCCTTATTATGTACTTTGTGCGCACACCATGTGAGTGGGGCATGGATGCCATTTCAGCCACACTTACCTTCTTGTGGGAAGTGGTAGGATACGTGGAAGGTCTTTTCTTTAAAGACTTGAAGCAAACAATGAAGAAAGAGCAATGTGAGGTGAAGCTGTTAGTAACAGCATCCATGCCAGGTAAGGATACTCCCTAATCAGTGTTATCTGCTCCTGTTTCTCTATTGAATGACTAACGTCTTTATTTATTTTCTACTTGCAGGAACAAAGACACTGGTGGTTCATGGCCAGAATGAGTGTGATATTCCAACCCAATTGCCAGTGCATGAGGACACACAATTTGAAGCACTGTTAAAGGTAAGGCAAGCATTGTAAAAGAACAAACAAGCAAGAAAGACAGCAAAAGTAATTTCATTTGTTTCCACTGTTACAATTTTGTGAATACATTTTTGTTCAAACGTATGTCTTTGATGTGGTTAGACACTGGTCAGCATCTTCTGTAGGATGCTCTGTGTTTAACTCATATCCTAATGTAATTGATTTCAATATTGTAAGCACAACTTAGTGGCTGATATAAAATAGATATTTATGCACTATGCTTATTACATCAACTGTAAATCTGATCACAATTACCAAGCTATAACTTTCATCATCTGAGATCTTAATAGCTTTGTAATAAGGACCAAAATACACATGCAAACCTGATTGTGAATAATATACTTCATTTCCACTTTAAAGCCCCATTCACATTTCTCCAGGCCACTGCCATGCATGCCTTTCATTTTGAAAGAGCTGGCAACACATTGCAGTGGCCCGAAAATTGGACATGACTTTATTTTAATGCAGTGGACCACAACACACAATAGTGTAATCATCATTAATGGCATTGCAATACCGTTCCGTAGTTTGCGTGTTACAGTGCATTGTTATAATGTATAGTGAATTGGACTTTTGTTAAGGGGCCTAAAGGAAACCTGTATTAAGATAAGACTGTAGCTTACCAGTGCTAACCTCTCCTTTTGAAAATGCTAGATGAATGGCTGTTATGCAAATCCAGTGGCTTCAATACTTTTTGAGCAAGTGACCCAGAACGAGCATGAGGATTAGGAGTTTCAACTTAACCTTGACTTCCCTGGTTGCATGTTTTTCTGGGTGGGTGGGTGGCCAGGCTAATTTTTATAAGGAAGTAAACCATGCAGCCTAGATTTAATTCTTATCATATGTCTTCTTTAACTATAGCCACAGTCTTTGCAATCGTTACATAAATATTTGCCCATGATTTTGAGAAAAGCATTTAGCATGCAAGATTATCTGTATTCTTTATCTGCATTTGCTTTGAAGAGTTTGCTGCAGCCTCTCATTTTCTGCAGTATTGATTTACTGATGGTTGGTAGAAAATAAATTATCATGTTTTCCAGCAGTCTTTCTACGGCCTGGTATCATTTACATAGAGGGGTTTAGTAAGCATTGTAACTTGTATACTGAATTTGGAATCATATGGGCTTTCATTGTTGAGATGCCCCTGCTATTTGACCATTACTATAATTCTGATCTTTTGGCTTTAAAAGTTTTAGATTTTTCTTTTTGATCAATTTGAAATAAAACAATTGTGCCCTTAATTTTTCCTTCTACATTTCTCCTCAGGAATGTCTAGAGTTTTTTAACATAGCAGATTCACAGGCTGCAAATTACTTTCTCATGGATAAACGATGGAATCTGACTCATTATAATAAGGTAAGCTGAAGGTCTGATAAGCTGAACTAACTATGAACTGAGATGCATTAAGAGATTAATGTATTTATGCAGCTGTAGGTACCAGATGGTCTCTGCTTTCAATGGTGATATGCAAGAATGACTTTAATGCATATGTCAAGGCAAAGTTTAAGAGAAACATATTTAGTATATATCTTAGGAACACATGGAAGTGCTGAAAAAAACTGTTGATGTGCCAGAATTATAGTGTGCTCCTACCTTCCTCTTTGACATAACAAGGCAGCCCTGAATTCCTAAGCATGCGGTGTCAGCTATGCCTACTTTATTTTTGATAGAGTACAAAGAACACAAACCTCATCTCTATGATCCCTTTTTGTGCACAGGCAGAGAGCACAGGACATTTTTAGCTCATAGGATTTCTGGTAAATCAACAGGTATTTCTTACACTTATTAAACAGATATAATAATAAAACACTTTCAATTGTATATTTAGCAGTTCCAAAGGGAGCAATTAAGAAAAGTGCAATGTTAGGGTTTACATACACTTTAAAGAAATGCTTTAAAAAAAAAAGAATTCAACAAATAAATACAAGGTTAGACAAATGATTGCAATTAGTTTGGCTGCAGGTTGTTTTTAACAAATTCATATATACCATAGCAGCAGTAGTGATGTTCCAAATCCGTTTCATTTGCTTTGGGGCTTGTATTTAAAACATGTTTTAAAAGTGTACTACTAAGAACATTTCCTGATGCCCATAGCAAACAATCAACTCTCAACTGTAGTATTTGCAGCGCACGGTTGAAAATAACAGGGATTCTAATTGGTTGCATCAGGCAATATGAAATTGCTTGAACTTCCTTCCTTTTTTGGTAATAGTGGGGGGGAAATCTTTTTCTACAATGGTAGCTATGAGTGGGTGGTATTCGACAGGGGAAATCAGGTGGCGTACCATTGTAACAGGACTACAAGGCATTTTTCTGTTTGAGTCCTTTTTCCAATATCAGCTGAAAATCTAGTTGTTTGTCTTTGGTTGTATATGAATTAAAGTATTATATAAAACATGGGATAGTAATACCTCTTATTTGTGTTTTTAATATTAAATTCATTTAGACCTACGTACGTGACATTTATCCCTTTCGGAGGTCGGTTTCACCACAACTTAACCTGGTACACATGCCCCCTGAGAAAGGGCAAGAGCTGATTCAGAAGCAGGTATGTCAGTGTCATTTTATTTTGAAATTCTTGTGAGATTGACCTGTTAATTAGGCATAGCAAACGATGTGGTAGAAGTTACATCTGCTACAGGAGCCAGAGTCCCAGGGGACCCTGTCCCAAAAATGCGAGTAACGTTCCTTGTTATTTCAAAAATGAAAATATTACTGTAATGAATTAGTTAGGTAAGGTTTTTACTCTTACTTTGTTTTATTAAGAGACAATATTATACAAAATTGGTAATATATATAATAATGGGTAGCTATAATAGGTCCAAGTAGTTTGGTAACTAACAAATATTTCCAAGCAAATTTTTCTTTTTCTTTATATGTACACTCATCTCTGAATATGGTATCCAAGAAGTATTTGAAATATGAGCTCATCTTATAGATATTTAAAAGTACACTATCTTAGCATGCAGTAAAGGATATCAAACCTCTTAGATATTGCATGCTGTTGGTCCCTGTTGTGTAATAACAGCTATGTACTGTATGATTAATAGTATACAAAATATCGGTCTTTTTCAACTATATTCTTTCCTGACTCTTTAGTTCTCTCCAGCACTTTTGTTCTTGATCACATTTACCTCTACTGTAAACCACGATGAATGAGACGTTTATGAATTAGCATATTCATCTTAATACGTTAATGGGATATTTTAAATAAAGTACAGCAGGTTGACATAAAAAGGCATTAATACTTAGTGAAATAGGAAATATTGATCTAGCCCACAAATTGATTGCCTCCTCTGATGGTGGTCTCTTGTTATGCACAGACTGAGATTTCTCTATTATGTGAACAATTATATTAATGATAGCATATTATACAAAGGACAGAACTCTTATCTGATTAATTAGAGATGAATAAAGATAACTTGATGGCCTCAAGAGACATTAAGAAAGAAACAAGGAAAACATCTGTGTTATGTCTCTTTCCCAAATCATTACAGAAAGATATTTCTGCTTAAACAAAGAAAACACTCTTTTGATGGTTGCCTCATTTGTCAAGTCATGAGGAACTGGCCAACATGCTAAATAGTGGATGCCTATGCTGTGTTAAGGGAGGATTGATTACACATAACTAGAAATATGACAGCGTCTAAATTTTGCTGAGCCACTGCTTGAATCATGGAAAAGACATACTTGGGTACATTTATAGGTTAATCGCAAGGGCAATCATTTTTTCATTGTTGTGACTGACCCAACAAAGACCACAAAGTTGGCTGCTTTGACTTTTTGCTCTTTTTGTATTTGAGTATATTTGTAATACACTAAATATCCTTAGGTGTTTACTAGAAAACTAGAGGAAGTTGGAAGAGTTCTATTCCTAATATCCCTGACCCAAAAGATCCCTCCTGCGCATAAACAGTCCCATGTATCCATGCTGCAAGAAGATCTTTTACGTCTGCCTTCATTTCCAAGAAGTGCCATTGATGCAGAGTTCTCACTTTTTAGTGATCCACAAGGTAAACCATTATTTAGCATGACGCATGCATTTATGTAATGTTAGCAGTTTTACAATTCCATAGTAATGATTGCATAGTGGCAAATTAATTATTTTGCTAATTCTATTAGGTGGCAAAGAACTGTTTGGCTTGGACACGTTACATAAAAGCCTGTGGATAAAGCTGCTGGAGGAGATGTTCTTGGGTATGCCCAGTGAATACCCTTGGGGAGATGAGATAATGCTTTTCCTTAATGTCTTCAATGGAGCTCTGATTCTTCATCCAGAGGACAGTGCCCTTCTTAGGCAATATGCAGCTACTTGTATCAGCACAGCTGTACATTTCAACCATCTCTTTTCATTGAGTGGGTACCAATGGATTCTGCCCACTATGCTTCAGGCAAGTAAAGGATTATTGTTTTTCATGTTAAAAGTATAATAAGGTAAATGATTGTGGCAAGAGATATGATTAGAAGAACACAATTCAGTACTGTCCACGATACTTTTTAATTTGCAAAAACAGTTATAGTGCTGGATCATACAGCTGCACCTCCTGTATTGTGGTATACCTCATTCAATGCAATAAGTGCAACCAGGGCTGTCACAATGTTGAAACGGGCAAAAATTACAAAAAATGAATTCATCTACATACAGTAGACACACCATAAAAGAACATAGAAAATGATAAAAATACTCAGGAAAAGAAAACATTTGAACTACACCAAACTGAGATTGTTGTCTCTGCACATTTCTTCTTAAAGCGGAAATAAACCGATTTGTAAATTTTTTGTTTTTGCCTAATATGCAAGTATGCACATCATACTTGCACATTAGGGCACACCTGCTTACACGTGTGCCCTTTTCCAGTGCTGTCCTCATCTCCACCGCTAATACTTTGGAGTCCTCTTGGGCCATTGGGTGGCCATTCACAGCAATTTAGGGATACTGTGAATGGGTTACGTGTGTACACTTAATGGCGCATGCGCCATACAGTGTACTCAAAAGATAGAAAATTGCTGGGTGAGAAAGGAAGACTTTTTTTGGTAGAAGATATTTTGTATGTCTTTTGTGCCCAAAAATCCCTACCTCCCAGCAATTGTTTATAATTTTTCACTTTAACATTTTGCTACACCTTTTGTATCAGTACTGCTAGGACCTTAAAGGAGACGGTAGACCCACGAAAGCTTTCCTGAAAATTTTACATTATTTTGAGCAGAACTCACACACCTGCAACTGTTGCAGTTTTAATGTTGGTAACCCTATTTATACTATTCAGTTTACGTTTCCTTATGATACTACTCAGTTTGTATAAAACTGCTTCCTTCCTGTGTCTGCACAGGTTTTCATGATTGTGCAGCAGTTCCTACATGCTGGTGTCACTCAAACATTTACTTCAGTATAACTAACAGTGTAAAATGAGCATTATAATGGAGATCTTGCTACAACAGGGCTAAATGTGCCTTTAGTAGTGCTTTATTGTTGTCCTGTCCTGTGTCTGAAGATGTCTGCTTGTGTTTATGTCATTAATACATATTGCCATGCTAGGCAAAATAAAACACTGTTTTTTTCTCTTAGGTATATGCTGACTATGAGAGTAACCCTCAACTTCGCAAAGCCATTGAGTTCACCTGCAGACAGTTCTACGTACTGCATCGAAAGCCATTCGTGCTCCAGCTATTTGCCAGTGTTGCTCCTCTGCTTGATCTTCCGGTAAGAGGTTTTCTGCCATGGCTTTCTTTCACTTGTTTAATTAACTAAATGTCAATATTAACTCCTTATCTAAGATGTTTGTCCTTGCTATGCTAACATGTAGCATATAAAGTCTTCCCATAGATCAGAGCTACCAAGTTTTATTTATGTTGAGAGTCCAAATGTTGGTGATGCCATTCTTCTAGAAACCCTGTTTGGTTTTTTTATATTGTTCAGAGATCTTAAAGGATACTAGGCTCAATTTACAAAGCTTTCACACAAGAATAAGGCTCTCTAAGTTATCCATGTGACTGTAATTTTCAAATCTTATTGGGCTGTCATTTGAAAATGAGCATATTAATCCTGGTGTGTTAGCTTTTTAAATTGAGCCTATTGCTCAAAATAATGTATTGCCATGTGGGGATTCCAAATGTCATGAGCAAATTTGGCTGTCCAAATATTATATTTGCATTTTATAGATCTCTAGTTGTGCTCTTTTATGGTATAATGTAGTTAGCTGGATACTCACTCTTGGCAACCCTTTTGATAGTTGTGATATTAGTGCTTAGTATACTTATAAGGATATCGATACAGATATTATTAAGATAGTGATAGAGAAGCAGATGGTCAGGTCTTAAGTCAGGTGCCAATTAACATACCAGTATATTTTTGATCTTTGGGTGAACGCTGAAACGCCTGTGGAAAATCCATGAAAAATAGATACAGATCTATACAGATATACACTGTACATTTTATACGGATAGCATTCCTAGCAGAAATCAAGCCCAGGAACATTATTTCAATATCTATTAAGGGAATGTACCTTTTCTTTCCCTTCATAGGGCTTTTCTGTTGACAAAAATACAGTATTTTTTCATCAAACTTGTACTGTTGACTCTTCAAACCCAACTTGTTAATCCACAGGATGGTGTAAGCAGCAGCTCCTCTACTAAGGGTGTGTCTTCTCAGTGCTTGTTTGACCTTCTTCAGTCTTTGGAGGGAGAAACCGCTGATAATCTCGATATCCTCGAGCTGGTAAAAGCAGAACGTCCCCTGAAATCATTAGGTAAGTATACATTCAAAACATACAAAACAAAGAAAAACTTTGTGAAAAATGAAGTAAAGACTGTAGTTTGTGATTTTGAATTTCCAAAGAAAGTGATTTCAAAATAAAAGGAGACACTGCCACCTTGCCCATTCAGGGTAAGTTGACATTGTCTGTGCAAAGGGGCCCCCGACCCACTGAGACTTATTTTACTAGCCGCTGTCACTCCTTTTGCTTCCTCAGCCAGCAAGTGACTCACCCCACATGACAAGTTAAGTCTAGCAGTCTATTAGATTGTAAGCCCTCATGGGCAGGGGCCTCCTTACCATCTTGTCTTGAATTGTATTGTAATTGCCATGTCTTCCTTATATTGCAATGCGCTGCGTAAACTATTGGCGCTATATAAATCCTGTATAATAATAATAAGAATAATAGTAGGCAATCGCTATGCATGAGCCTTTGAACCTTCTAGACATTCCACACTGTCTCCCGCTCTCCTGGCCTATGGTGGGCTGGCTGCTGCCTGCACTCCAGCACTCTGTAAGTGACAGTAGGCAACAGGGTTAGTTTTCTCTGCCTGTGTGGAGCATCGAAACTTACTGCTGGAAGCTTCACATTCAGCAGAAAGACAACTTGGTGATGTCGGGGCCAGTAGAGAGCCTATTATAGAAAGCCTCTAATACTGCTAAATGTGTCAGAGGTTGAAGAAAATTACAGGGCTATTACTAAGAAAAGGCATAATGAATTGCTACAGCAAGAACAGCATCAGTAAGTGCTAATTTCAAACATGTGTGATAATCCTGAAGAGGGTTACATGATGACAGCGAGAGAACCAACAGTTAACCAGTGTGTGCTTCAATCCTATCTAGATTTCTGTTATGGCAATGAAGACATGGCATTCTCCATCAGCGAGTGCATAAAACTGTGTGTGACAGTAGTAGCCTATGCTCCAGAATCATTCCGCAGGTAACTAGCCTCTGCTGAGATCTTGAATTGTTTTTTTTTTTATTAAGTGAGAAGGTTGAGTCTGGGAAATTAGGTAAATCTATTTACAAGAAAAAGAAAAACAGTTGCATCGGTTTTCAATACTTTCAATTCTTAGCCTCCAGATGCTGATGGTGCTGGAAGCTCTGGTTCCCTGCTTTTTGCAAAAGTTGAAACGGCAGACAACACAGCTGGAGACAGTGTCAGCGGCTCGTGAAGAAATTGCTGCCACTGCTGCTTTGGCCACATCACTTCAGGCTCTTCTTTATAGTGTTGAAGCCCTAACAAGGTAAATGATACAAACAGGAATCACTGTTTCTGGCCCCATGCTGTTTTTCTATATGACTCTTTGCTCCCTTTGTTTTGAGGATGATTCTACCATCCCATTATGCATAAATAGAATGTATAGTGGCTTGGTGTTTTATTTTCTTTCGTAATTTTTTTAATGGTCAGCATTTAAGAAATAAAAATGTTATGCATTTTTCCTTTTTTTGTCAGGCGAATAAAATATATTACAAATTGAATATCAGACAGTCTTCTTTTCTTTTAGCAAGTGCAGCTTCTTTTCAAATGTTTTTTTCTGACTTGGTAAAAATGTTGTGATAAAAATCCTGTTGTTTAAATAGCTGAATAGGTCAAGCTGAAATTTACACAGAAAATGTATACAGAGGAGTAACTCGTCGCTTTTTTGGGATGGCTCATTCTGAGGTCTCAGTCAAATTTATACAGAGGAGTAACTCATAGCTTATTGGATGGTTCATTCTGAGGTTTCAGTTAGCTAACCATAAGGCAGGCAGCATTTGTTGTGCTGTCTCTTTTTGTAACCCATGGTGCTGCGGGAATTTTTTTCCATGCAATAAATGTTTATTATTCCTATATTTCCTTTTCACCCATAACCGTCAGCCTTTAAACTTCAAGACATCCCACACTGTTCCCCCTTACCTAAACATAATAATAAATAAAATATATTAGGGATGCACCGATACCTGATACTAGTATCAGTATTGGTCCTGATACTGGGCATTTTCATGAGTACTTGTACTCGTGAAAATGCCCTAATACTAAAGGCCAATACCGGCCCTTTACATTTGTACTCAGGAGTGGCTGCCTGAGGTCACGCGCTTGCTGGGGACCTCAGGCAGCCTGCTGGGGACCTTGCGGTGGCTGTCTTTTACAGTGCCGATCCGGCCCCACATCTCCTCTTCCTGCTCCCGGCAGAGCCCTGGACAGCACCACGCCCACCTGTATAGCCCTGTTGAGACACAACACAGCACTGGGGAGACCCAAACACAGTCCTGGGGAGACGCAACACAGAGCCCTGGTGACACCCGAACGCAGCCCTGGTGACACCCACATGCAGCCCTGGTGAGACCCACATGTCCTCTATAGCCAGTGCCTTTCTTTGTTGCTGAGATTTATAGTCCTCTGTAGCTGGTGGTATTCTGCATTGCTGTATAATGTATTGCTGAGATTTGTAGTCCCTCTACAGCTTGGAGTAAGTGGCAGAACTACTAGGATCACAGTGGTTGCAGCTGTGACTGGGCCCTGGTCCTTCACCACTGTTCTAAAATCATTCTTGTTTTAGAAAAAAATGCCACATGCCAAAAAAGGTATCGGTAATTGGTATCGGCAAGTGCTTGAAAAACAGTAACGGTATTGGTGCATCCCTAAAATATATACAAAATTATAAACATTCTTTTGAAACATGGTTTTTGGATATTTTACCACAAAGACAAAATATTAAATGGAGGATTTTTTTTAGGCCCATGACTGCACCCCAGATGAGCCGAGGTGATCAAGGCCACAAAGGAGCCACAACAGCTAATCACACTATGTCAGCTGGGGTCAACATGAGGTATTCGTTTATTTAACTCTGTGAAATATCTGAATTTTCTTGTACAATATCAAATAAAAGGTTACATTGATGACTTATTTGCCAGGGATAATCTTCACCTGCTGGAAGAAGGTCAGGGGTTACCCAGGGAAGAACTGGATGAGCGGATTGCTCGAGAAGAGTTTCGGAGGCCACGAGAATCTCTGCTCAACATCTGCACAGAGTTCTACAAACACTGTGGTCCTAGGCTGAAGATTCTGCAAAACGTGGCTGGAGAGCCACGTGTCACTTCTCTGGAACTCCTGGATGTCAAGTCACATATGAGGTTTGGGTCTTACTGGATCATTAGCTGGTCTTCTTAACAGAGATGATGAAAAATATTAGATCAAGAAATGGTCATAAAATACAGGAGTTTATAAACAATTCACCAGTTTTCGTGTCTCTCATATTTAAGGTTGGCAGAAATTGCGCATTCACTCCTAAAACTGGCACCTTATGACACCCAGACTATGGAGAGCAAGGGGCTCAAGCGTTACATCATGGAGATGTTGCCCATCACAGACTGGACAGCAGAAGCAGTGCGACCAGCCCTTATCCTTATCTTAAAGAGACTGGATCGTATGTTCAATAAAATACACAAAATGCCAACTTTAAGGTGAGCAGATGGCACAGAAACGTGCATTGAGTTTCTGATATTGCAAACCTTGAAGTAAGGGCATAATGCTTGATTACTTTCCTCTACTGCTGTCCACAAACAAGATTAATGTGGTTTCTTTGGGCAACAGCAGAGGAAAGAAACATATAAAAAGCACAGGTAAACAAAAAAACCCCAAAGGTAAGTAAATCTATTTGGTTCACAATTTAAAATTGATTACATAAAGTATTAAAGGAGAATTGTAATGAATGTCATTTTATAAATTAGAGTAATACAATATAATGTGTTTCAGGGAGAAAATTAGTATGAGTTGCATCTGGTATAGCAGGAAAAAACCACTTAGCATATCTTCTCTTGCTTGCAGAGTAGAAATGTATTTAGTTTTGTAGAATTACAGAAAATTGGTCAGTTTTATTTTACAATTTGTTTCGAATGCTTGTACGTTTTAAAACTGTAATTCTATCAATTTATTTTTATTAATTTTATAAAAGCCTTCTTTTGAAAAGTATACTTGTCCAAGCTTCAGAAAGCCCAATACTAGCTCTGAATATGTTAACTGGGGGCATCTACTGTTCAGAGGACGATTAGAGGGTCTCTCCTCTGATTCATTCAGATGACTTAAGCTGGCCATACACGTTACAATTATCTGCAGATTGTGTGTGGTCAGATGGAAAAGGTGCAACAGATTCCTCCATGTACACTTAACTGTGTCGATGGAGTAATCTCCACCTGGGCCAATCTGTTGCACTTTTTCCATCTGACTGCAGAAAATCTGCAGATAAGTGTAAGGCTTTTTAGGCACCTTTATTTAGATGTCTATGTGTGTGACTTGAAATCTTCCTATTCAGGTCTGTACAACTTAGCAGTAAGGGCCCATTACACCATCGTTATACTATGCATCAACGGGTGTGGCATCAATGCAGAGAATTTAAAATGGGCTGTCAAAGCACCACAATGCATCAGAAATGGTGCATACCTAATTTCTGGCAGTGCACGTCGATGCACATTCATAATTTGCAAGGTATGTTTGGGTGCCATTCACTGTGAATGGCATTACACCAACACATGTATCAATAGTGTGAATGTTCCCTAAACTGGCTGTCTGAAAGCTTGAAATACCAGACCTAGCCCAGCATTCAGCCATATCAGAAAAGAAAAAGAGCTGCTGCTGGTTTATGCAAGCAACTTTAGTCTTTCTTCAGAAAGCCACTGATGCTCCAAAACTGGGCTGCTCTCTTATACAAACCTCATGTCCATCAAGGAAAGTCAGGAGCTGGTCAACCACCCCCACCACACACACACACACACACACACACTAAATGTTGCCCATCACATTTAGCAGCCAACTACAAGATTCAAAAGGGCAGCTCTCAACATATCTTCAAGTCATTACTTGCATAATGAAGTGTCCCAGGATTTGCCATTTTTGGTGCAGTCTATAGAGGAAACTAAGGGTGTATGCAAGCACCCAAGGGTTCCTACTGTAGACTCCTGATGGCTGTTTACCAGCTTTGATGTAAGTCCAGGCACACTTTACTATCTGAGGGCTTTCTTGTAGGCTTAATGACCATCTGACTATCTCTGCCACTCAATGTGCTTTTTGCATAATTAACATTTTCTCATGACATTACTCTCATAGCCGCTCTTTAACAATACGCCTGTTTATTATCTAAATTAAGTTAAGCTATCTCAGTCACAGTTCATCACCAGGTATATTTTAGCTGATTTCTGTTGTTTTTACATATTTTAATGATGTTTGATGCTAATTTATTCAGAGGAAGATGCCTGTTCCTTAATGAATTGGATCTCCAGTTTAGTTTTGAAGCATAATTTTGCTGTTTTACTACTCTAATCTTACCTCCTGTTGTATTCCAGGCGACAGGTTGAGTGGGAGCCTGCCAGCAATTTGATAGAAGGGGTTTGTTTGACACTTCAGAGGCAGCCAATCATATCCTTCCTGCCTCACCTTAGGTCACTGATCAATGTGTGTGTAAATTTGGTGAGTAAGCGTGTATTGGAGGGCCCTCCGTTTTGTATCCGGGTCACTGTCTTACACATCTGTGCTTAATTCCTGCATGCTACATGGAGCCACATGTGAGGAAGTACTCAAATATGTGTTGTTTACATTCAGAGGTGTTTGTTCCCTATTCACATCAGTTACATTTGATTTAATTGCTTGACCTACAATGCATTTACTTTGCAGGTAATGGGTGTTGTGGGGCCCTCTAGTGTTGCAGATGGGTTACCTCTCCTCCATCTCAGTCCATACCTATCCCCTCCTCTACCCTTCAGTACAGCAGTTGTCAGACTAGTAGCACTGCAGATACAGGTTAGTATATGGCCTAATTTTCATATTATTCATTTTTTAATTGTTGATGCTGTAACTCCTAAAACCTCTGTGTGTATGTTGTGAAGACGTACAGATACTTTTACCCAGGACCTTACCCAGAAGAGCTTACAATCAAATAGGGATGACTATGAAAATTTTGCAAACTTAATGCCCAACTTCAACCAAAGAGGAAAATATCAGATCTCTCTGAAATTTTATTGATGCCTTTGTTACCTTTGGGGAGATTTCCATCCAATTCCTGTCTAAAGCTGGCCATACTCTATTAGCATGTCTGCCTAATCCTGTGAATTGGCATAGGTGGTCCTGGTGACACCCCGTGGCTCCACAATCAATCAAAGTCACTGTTTGGGTATTCTAACAGCCATGGCCACCAGCTGTTAGAATACAATAGCCGGCAGAGAAGGGGACATCAAGGGGCAATTAAGCGGTTTTCTGTAATTTAGCCTATGGGCTGAACAAAAAAAACGATACATCTAGGGCAAGCTTTACTGATATAAACCAGGCAGAAAAGAAAGTGGTAGAAAATCTCCCATACAGGTAGGCATTTAGTACTACTTAGACCAAGAAGAAGGGAAAACCCTGAAAGCTTGCTCTGGAAGTGTAACTGTTAGTGCAAATAAAGAAATATCACAGATAGTACTTGATTGTTTAGTTAGAAGCGCACTAATATGACTACAATCACTTTAAGCATGTCTATATTTGAAAACTCTAAATTTGACCTTTTTTTTTTTTAATTGATGGCTTTTTAACAATTTTACTGTCGTTATATTTATTTTTACAAATACCATCATCTTGTTTTAAACAGAGATAGGCTGGATGTTGAACAGATCAATGATGGTATGATTTATGTGTACGATTTAGGCTTTAAAAGAAGATTTCCCCTTGAGTCATGTGATCTCACCTTTCACTAACTTGGAAAGACGAGAGGGAATGCTTCTCAACCTGCTCATTCCTTTTGTGTTGACAGTTGGATCTGGAAGCAAAGGTTTGGCATTTGTAACATACAGTATAAACCCATAGTGCATATCAGTTCTCAATTTTTTTTTATTGTTGTCTAATAGCAGGGGCTTATATAATGTCAGCATATTCCATTGAACTGTGTAGAATAAAGACTAAGTATGATATATAAACAAAGAGATTTGTTTAGTGTTTGAAAACAAAAAAACCTTTTATACTGTAAAAATGTTCTAACATCTACATTCATACAAAAAGCATTAAAGTATATGTTGGTATTCAAGCATCAGTACAAGCAGTGCCATGCTTTTCATAAATATCATATGATGCAATGTAAAATTGACCTATCACTATAATGTATACTTCAAGTAGGGGTCGACCGATAGGGATTCTTTGGTGCCGATTATGGGCCACCTTTCAGGCCGATAACTGATATCAGGTACAGATATTCTGTTTACATCCAGCTGCACCAGCAGCTGAGTGTAAACAGCAGGCAGTCGTCTGACATTGGTTGACTCCCTGTTTTTGGTTTTTGTATTCTGACAGCAGCCGCTGTCAGAATACCAAATTAACTCTGTCTGTGCTGTGCTGACAGATCTCATTATCAGTTGTACACTAGTTTTGAACTGTACTAACAAAGGGTTAAAGATCTAGAAGCATTTTATGTTAACGAGAGGAAGTTTAGACTGTCCCTAGTCTTGCTATGAGGTCACTTTAGGCAAATACACTTTAAGCTGACCTTAGACAGTAGAGGACAGCTGAATGTGCAGATATAGTCTGACCACCCTAAGGCATACTTCACAGTCAGTTCTATCCTAAATGCAAATGCTTTTCTATTGCCTTTGAAGCGGGATGTGAAGGGCATTATAGATCAGTCATTCCCAACCAGGGTGCCGTGGCACACTGGGGTGCCTTCTTGCTTCTTCAGGGGTGCCTTGAAATGTTGTCATGGTAGGACTCGGATGTAAAGGGGTGCTTCTGATGTGAAGGGGGAACTCTGATCTCAAAAGAGGACTCTGATATAATGGTAGACCCTGATGTAAAGGGGGGCTTTTAATATGAAAGGGAGGCTTCTCATGTTAACAGAGCTCCTGATGTGAAGGGGAGAGTGCTTCTAATGTGAAGGGGGGCTACTGATGTGAAGGGGGGCTCCTGATTTTTTTTGCGTTAGGTCCCCCCTTAAAATCCATTACATTTTAGTCTGGAGCGCCTTTAGATTTTGCATACTTTTTAAGGGTCCAGTGTCTGAAAAATGTTTGAGAAACGCTGTTATAAATAATCAAACAAGGCTTTCTAACTTGCCCAATTACAATTGCCCCAGAAAAGACTCAGATGCAAAAGGTTTTCCAGTGAAGCCGTCTGTCATCCAATGTCTCTGAGTACCTGAAAGGATCTCCCACTGTTTGATCTTTGCCTAAGAAATGTTTTTAGTGTATGAGTGCAAACAGGCCTTTTTTATAAGCAACAGCTGCCTTAAAATGTTTTCATCTTCTGCCTACTCACAAGATCTATTTTGTAATTTCTTGGACCACTCAGATAGTCCCTGTCTGGAGCCGCCTGAAGTCTACTTGCTGCTGCAAACTGTGATAAATATTCTTCTGCCTCCACGAATCATAAGCACTTCCCGTAGCAAGAACTTCATGCTGGAGAGTTCACCTGCACACTGTTCTACCCCTGGTGATGCTGGGAAAGATCTACGAAGGGAAGGACTTGCAGATTCTACCAGTCAAGCTGCTTATCTTGGTGAGTAGTTTGATATTTTGTTTACATTACACAGCTCTATATCCCACAACTTCTTACATTCCTTACATAATCACCAATAGGATCCTATAACTGGTAAAGTGACCCTGTCATTAACTTAAAAGCATTGCAAAAAAAGTATTTTAAATGCTTACTTTCAGTGTTTTTCCTTTCCATAAATTATTTTTATTCTCTTGCAATATACCTTGAAAGCTGAACTCCAGGATAAGCAAATATTGTCTAAAGACAAGAGGCATGTATATTTTTACTTGAATCCCAGGGGTCTATTCACTAAGCTGCCGTAGGCAGCCAAGTGAATAACCGATCTAAAGTGAAGTGAGCCGAACGCTGAAATCAGCCGTACACCGACTAAAATCAGCTGTACATCGGCTTGCTGCGGCTGGCTTCAGGTCGGCCAAACATGCTCAGCATGTTTGGCTGACCCGAAGTGCAGAAGAAGTTCGACTCAGCCGATCCAACATCTGGATCGGCTGAGCCGAACCTCCGGCAGGCTACTCGCTGCTGTTCGGCCTATTCTCATAAATGCCGAACAGCAATAGCCGAGCGGCATTCGGCTCGGCACCTCTGTGGTACCGAGCAGAATAGAAAAACAGTTAAAAAAGTAGAAAAAATAAAATAGAAAACTATTGGGTGGAGCTAGCAGTGACAGCTAGCTCTGCCCAACTGTTTTCTATTGGCCAGGCGGTTCTGCTGCCGTCAGAATGATAACAAATTAAAAAATTAAAAAGCCAGCATAGGAATGCATAGCTGGATTCCTACTGGCTAGTTCACTTTGCAATAGCCAATAGCAAACTAGCTATTGCACCCGCCCTCTGCTGCTGTCAATCACCAGAAGGGGACCTGATGGAGAACTGGGCGTGAAATAGCCAATAGGAATCTAGCTATGCATTCCTATGCTGGCTTTTTTCTTTTTGACTGAGGGCGGCCAGCGGCCCCATGTCAGAAAAAAACAGATGACAAGGAAAGGTTTACTCTGCTCAATCAAGCAGAGTAAACCTTTCCAGGAGAAAGTGTTTCTCTCCTGGGCGGCCGGGAGCCGTATTAGACTCCCAGAGCATCCAGGATAGTAATGACAGATCTGTGTCCCTGGTTACCAGGTAATCAGGGACGCCTTCTGTCATTACACACTGAGAACCTGGAGAGGCCGTTGTGATATCATAGCGGCCCCGCCAGGTTCTCAGTGTGTAATGACAGATGGTGTCCCTGGTTACCTGGTAACCAGGGACGCTGATCTCTCTGCAAGTGGCCGGAGCCAGCCGTGAGATGACAGCTGGCTCCGCCCAGCTGTCAGAAGCAGGCTGTCGGCCGGCCAATGTCCGGCCCTTCGGCCAGCTTCGGCTTTCTCCTCGGCTCAGACGAGCCGTGGCATATGCCTTCGGCTCGACTGAGCCGCTCGGCCAACTTCGGGAGCTGTACGGGCTATAGTGAATAGCCCGTAAAGCAGCCCTTCAGTTCTACTAAACCGAAGGGGTCCTGGGGCCGAAGCTAGCCGAAGGATCAGCCGAAGCTACGGCTAGATCCTTCGGCTGCTTAGTGAATAGACCCCTTAGTGTCTTTTGTGTATTTCTTCCAGATCCGTGTAGTAATTCAGTGTGCAACTTTGCCTCTGTGCAGCAGCTTCCTGTAATAAAGACTAGTCAATGCAGATCTCTCTTCTTGTGTAGGGTGACTGGTCTTGTCTCTGCCACTCCTATAAATTTCTGCAGGCAGCCTGTAGTGGATGCAGCCTGCTGGGTCCCTCCCACAACCCTTCTCTCTGCACAGGCTATGTGCAGGACAGTGATGATATGAACACTACTTTTTCAAGGGTTTTTGAGACGTTATTGTACTAAGAGTTCAGCTTTAAACTTGACAAAAAATTGGATTGCTCCAGGAAGAGTCAATTCCATAGCACAGCCTCAACCTCCTTGTGTGCCATAGCCCTCTCCACTTCTAGTATTGTCTAGTTACTCTATGTGCTGAACCAAGTCATCATCCCTCTCTTCTCCTCCCTATTTATACTTATACCTTCTTCTCCCTATGTTAAATTTTTATGTAGCTAGGGTACTGGTGTCAGAGCAAAGAAAAATACTACAGTGACACTTGAGTGACATTTTTTTAGTCTGCTTAGGCAGGAGATATCAAATCAAATATGAGCATCCAGCAGCATTCTCAGGTTTTTTTTTAAATGTCTACACAAGGGAGGCATAGACAGGTAAATAACATGCTTAAAATACATTGCACATATATTCTTATGGAAAGTTTTTTGTTAAAATAAATAGTCTGGCAACAGAGTGTCTTTACCACTGCTTTGGGCACTAAGGACAGGAGATATAAGTCTTTCTTACAAAACCTGTTTCTATAAGCATGCTTAATCATTTCAGTTGAGTATGCATGTTATGCATGTATGTACTAAGCATACATTCTCAACTATGCATCCTGGGGAAACAAAAGAGAAAGTTCAGGAACATTCTTGGGTTTTGGGCAATCTATTTTTTACTCAGATTGGTAGGCCATAGGGGTCTGTAAGGGTGGCATTGTTGAATAGACATATACAGTATCTACTGTAAATCTATATCTATGTATTTGTCTATGCATAAACAAAGTAGGTAATTTCCTTTACTATGTTGATCATAGAGCGCCACAGTTATGTCTAAATCATGTATTCTTTTAACAGCTCTGAAGGTTATTTTGGTCTGCTTTGAACGCCAATTGGGAAGTGAATGGTATCAACTTAGTCTGCAAGTTAAAGAGATGGCGTTGAGGAAAGTGGGGGGATTGGCTCTTTGGGACTTCCTCGATTTCATTGTAAGAACTCGGATCCCAATATTTGTTCTTCTTAGACCGTTCATTCAGTGTAAGGTGAGAACTTTTCTAATAGTGAATACCAATGTTTATATTGAAATATTGCAAGACTGCTTTATTTCATGTCATTGCTAAGTTTTTCATGTCAAAGTCAAGCATCTGATTCTAAACAGCAACACTTAGTTGTGTTCGTATTGTAGAACGATACAGTTGTTTGACTCATTGGGTTTACAAGGATGAATTTGTCTCCCACTCGCCCAATAGTTGCTAGCACAGCCAGCAGAGACTCAGGAAGAGCTAAGTGCACGGCAGCACATAGCAGACCAGCTGGAGAGGCGTTTCATCCCAAGACCTCTGTGCAAGAACTCCCTTATTAATGAGTTTAATAATGAGTTGAAGATCCTAAAGGAGGCAGTTCACAGTGGGTCAGGTAAGACCATGGCAATCCTATATGTGCAGTTTAAATGTATAAACTAGACATTCTTTACTTTAACATACCGTATATACTCGAGTATAAGCCGAGTTTTTTAGCCCATTCTTTTTGCTGAAAAGTGCCCCACCTAAAATTGAATCTGCCAACACATATTGCTGGATCCTGTGTTAGAAAAAAGACTAAATGCTAGCATTCATGGTGGCAGGAGACTTAACTTGAATGCAAGCTCTTCATATTATCATAGCCCTTTTCCTTGATGTTTATGTTTATCTCTTGTGGCTGATCTCACGGCTAGCTTCGTCCAATTGCAATGACAGATCCGGGTCCCCAGGCCCTCTGAGGACGCTGAACTATCATTAAACAATGACAACTTGGCGGAGCCGGTCGTGACGTCACGACCGGCTCCGCCCCGTTGTTATTCATTGGCCGTGACCTGCTAGAAGAAGCTAGAAAGTCTTGGCCAATAGGAAACAGTTGGGCGGAGCTAGCTGTCACTACTATTTCCGCCCCATTTGTTTCTTTATTTTTTAAATTTTTTAATAATCTTTGATTTTTTAATTTCTTTTTTAAATCTTTATTTTTTTAAATATATCATTTATTGACATTTGTAAACTTTTTTTTCTACTTTTTTTCCCCCTACTTTTTTCACTGTTTTTCTATTCTGCTCGGTACCACGGAGGTACCGAGCAGAATAGCCGAGCCAAGCCGAATGCCGCATTTGGCTATTGACTCACTGCCGTTCTGCCCCTATGAGAATAGGCTGAACGGCAGCAAGTAGCCTGCCGGAGGTTCGGCTCAGCCGATCCAGATGTTGGATAGGCTGAGTCGAACTCCTTCTGCACTTGGGCTCAGCCAAACATGCTGAGCATGTTCGGCTGAACCGAAGCCAGCCGAAGCAAGCCGATGTATGGCTGATTTCAGCCGATACAAGCCGATACAAGCCGTACAAGCCTGAAGTGAATAGCCGAACAGCATTCGGCAGCTTTGTGAATAACCCTCTATGTGTTTTTAGTATAGTGCATTAAAAAAATCTGCTTGCTGCATTTTTTATGGTTTCCAAAAGTACATATTCCCTTGGAATAAAACTAAGACAATTTAGGTACATTTAAGAGTTTATCTAACTTTGCTATTATTATTGTATTCTTATTATGTTGACTTGTAATTTGTGCAAAGCAAAGTGACTCCTATGTCTCTGTTTATCTTACTCCTTTTCCAAGCATATCAAGGGAAGACATCCATCAGCACAGCTGGAACCTCCACCTCTGCTTACCGCTTGAGTTTGGCCACAATGTCTCGCTCTAACACGGGAACTGGAACAGTGTGGGAACAGGACAGCGAACATTCCCAGCAAGCCTCACAAGACACACTCAGTCGCACTGACGAGGAGGAGGAAGAAAGTAAGTTGGAGAGCCCTGGATTAATGAGCATGTGCAGTTCATTTTTGTGTCTATGGATATCGGAAAGTCAAACAGCAAATTCAATTTTACAAAGTCCAACATCAATAGGTTGGACTTGATGGACTAACGTCTTTATTCAACCTCAAATACTATGTAACTATGTAACAATAAATAATTCTTATTTATTCTTATTAATTCTTGTATGGCCTTTATTATTCCCACCTTCCACCATGGGTTAGTGTTTTAAAACCTATCAAAGGCTCTAACTCTTCCCCATACCACTGAAAAAATAAAAACTCTTTTTTTCTTTCTGTCCCTTTTAGATGACTCTGTGAGCATGCCCAGTGTGGTAAGTGAACAGGATGCGTACCTCTTGAGTGCCATTGGTAGAAGACGTTTCTCCAGTCAGACATCCAGCATGTCTGTTCCACAGGCTGAGGGTGGCATGCTTCCCAGCCAAAGGTAAACTGTGCTGTCCATCCATTGCATAGTAGCTAAAAATTATATAATGGAAATAGCTGTACCATATCATGCTTTTGGTGCAATATTCTCCCAAGAACATTATATCACAACAAAAACTTTTTAAAGGTGTTCTTCCTAAATCTATAGCTCCATTGGCAGTTAGTTTTGGCACGTTTTCTGCATTATCACAATGCCCAAATGACTAGCTGCAGAGCAACTGGAAGGTGAGGGTATAAATATTAGATTGTTACAGGACTCAACTATAGGACAAGATCGTATATAGCTGGAAGCTGCGTATGTGTTGGTCTTACTAATCTGCATAAATAATGTGTTCATTTTCAGCAAACTTCATGGTATTATGAATAGAAATAATCAGGATATTGCAAAATGTAAATAGATTTGTTATAGCACTATAGATATAGTTTTCAGCACTAAACTGGTAAGAAACACAAAAAACTGCAAGTCTTCTTAAGGCAGTGACGCGTATGAAACATTGTACATTATTTACATGCTGGAAAGTGTGGTGTATGCACTTTACTATTATAAAATGACAGTACTGAGAAGATATACTCTTTTGCTGTAACAAAGCTATTATTATTATATTTGATATTGTCCAACAATTCCTCTATAATGACAGTCTGCAAATTTCTCTTTTCCAGTTAAGTTTCCTGACAGTAATGTTTATTTGCCCCTAAAATCTGGTTCCATGTTGCAGTTGTCAGAAATCCTATTTTGATATTGTGGTACACAGTAGACAGTCATAATATATGGAGAACAGTACAGACAACTGCATCGTGGACAAGCAGTTGCATTGGTTTCAAGAGATGACTTAGCTGGAACCAAGAGGAATCTTCATGTGTATCCACTGTGTTTGATTTTGTTTTAAGCGCTATGTTTCAGCATATTGGTTAGGTATATATTTTGTGCATATTTTCCATAGACACTTCTGCTTCTGTTAGTTGTGTTTGTGTCCACTATTGCTCAGCAAATATGATTTACAGTCTGACATTTAATTGTTGATATTGAAAACATTTGTGTAACAAAGGATAGCTGGTTATGTATTTTTTTTAAGTGTTTAGCTGCTTTTCTAGAGCATTGTGCACACGATGTCCACTGTCGTATTATTAAAGCAGCAGAGCTAACATTTTTCATGTTACAAAACTGTTTCATTAACCTCATAATTACAGATGGAATGCAAAACATATTTTATAGTAAAGGGCTGAAGGAATTGACCAAATAACCACCAGTCATAAATACAAGTGATGTAAATGTGCAACTTTATAAAAAGTGCCCTTAGATTCCTTAGAATAGAGTCACAAGCCAGTTTAGATGGTTTGTGCATGTTAATCTGAAGCCCCTAAAACATTCCTGCTGGAATAGCATTCCAACACAAACCAGAATATAATGCGATAACTATAGATAGTTACTTGTTAGATATATTAATTGTATTATATTGAACTTGTTAGCATTCTTCAAGAAGTACTTGGTCTGGGCTCAGAAACACTGAGCTGCCTTCTTAATATGTGTACTTTTGCTGTCCACTTTAGCAAGTGGAATAAAACTAATGAAGATTGGTCTTCAAGACCACCAACAGTGCAGGTCATCCACTCTTTCAGGGAGAACCACAAGTATATAAAAGAACCACTATATCCAAAAATACACATTATGGGAAATATATACTAATAATTTTCACAGCGTTTTTGTTGAATTACACATTGGTACAGAAGTTGTACTGATAAATAGTTGGCTATGCATTGGAAAATATAACTTATTCATAAAACCTAAACAACACAACATTTTGAGGCTCTTTTTTCATATTCTCCTGAAACTTTCCAAATGTGTCTATTTAATTAGAATTCTGAGAATAGAAATTAAAACTGGCACTACTGACTTATAAGTATATGGAAACTTATAAGTAAACCGCCACCCTTGGATCTTCTCCTCCACAAACTCATTATTTCTCTGACTTTCCTTCCTTTTTGTGCTATTACTCTCAAGAATATTTTTAAACTCTGCAAATATCTAAATTGTTTGAGTCTAGATTAATAAAATATGAGTACCTATAGGCCCTATACAGCTAAATTGCAGCTAATTACATCATTAGAACAAACAGACAAGTTTAATATTTCTTAAATTTCACTATACACTGTAAAATTGTATTTGGCACCTTATTACACATTTTTAAAACATCTCTGGATTTGGCCTAATATAAACTTTGTAAGCTAAAAAAAATATTGAAATTGAAACTTTTCAGGCTTCACTGGATGCAAGTTTGTTTCATGTCAGTGACCCACTAGCTGGTGAAACAAGAATCAGGATTACAGCCCAGAGCCTGCACCTTTAAACAACAAGTCTACAGTGGTAGCTTCTATATTTCAATGCTTAGTTTCACTTTACATCCTTTCTTATCTGAACCAATTCATGAAAATGACATGACTTGGGTACAGTGGATCTTAACATTCCTGGTGGTATGATTTTTTTTTTTGTGCCTTTTTTTCGTTCTATTTTTTTAAAAAACTTTTGGATCTCCTGCCGGTTACGCCCCCCCTGCGCGGCGCGGATGCTCGCAAGGGACGGAACCTGGGAAAGAGGCATGCCAGAATCGGCCGGCGGACGCGCTGTGTATTCCCGAGTGTGGCTCGGGGTTACCGCTTATGGTACAGAGAATTAACCCCGAGCCTCACTCGGGAATGCCGCCAAGGAGGTTAACATGGCTTCTTCTTAAAGAAAGCACATTTGTTAATTATCTCACCCATGAGTACTGCTGGATTCTGGGATCCCAAAATGAAGAATTTCTAGAAACCTCATGCCACGACTAATAAGCATGTATTGCAAAATATATAAGCCTTCCATGGTGCAGTGCAGTCATCTGATATTATCTTTGTTGCTTGTCTTGTGATGGGTACATACTGCTGATTCACATAATAACCAAAGTGGTGCATGACCAGTATTGATGTTTATAACAGCACTGCTGTGTTGTGAAGTAACCAGGTTTACAGGCATGCAGCAGAGATAGTGGTTGCAATGGTACAAGTTGGGCTTTTCCTAACTCTGAATTCCAGGCAAACAGCTAAATGCACCATTTATTTACAAATATCATAAACATCAGTGCTGTTTTACATGCCAAAGGATTTATACTAGTATTTCATCTAGCCCTGAGATTTACACAGCCCTGCCAGAGAGCACAGCCAGCCTGTTAAACTGACTTTTCTCTACTACAGATAAGCAGAAAAGCTAGGTCCCCTCCTTGTCCTCAGCCTGTGATTGGACAGTGAAGGAGCAGCACACCCAATTGGTCCCAAGTACTGCTCCTCCATCTGCCAGTCTGAGTGCTGCTGTACATGGTATTACAGGAGGCAAAAACAAAGTCATATTTAGGTATTTACACTGGATACATTTGTTTATAAATGATATAACTACATTCATTGTTTTCTTATATCTGCCTGGAGTTCAGCGTTAATTAAACAGAAGCAGTTGAGCTATTCTTTTTATATCATGTTATAGTTGTCCTTTTACAAATTCTGGACTACAGCTTTAATAGAAGCGTTAATGAAATTATCTGGAAAGCTTATCTTTTAATGGCCTTTAAGCCTTTAACACTATGAGCAGAGCAAGATTTGTATTTCTGTAGTCTGTTCTCATTTGTTAATACATAAAATTACAAGATACTTTTTTTACATTACATTTATTTTACAATTACAACAGCATGAATTTGCACTAATATGTATCCACTGATATTTATGATACCTTGAGTAGAATAATTTCTGAAATGCTGTCTATTTCACTAGTACTGCTGCTTTAATGCCCAGCTCATGGACCATAAACTCTTGCTCGCTCTCCTGATCTCCTGTTTCTCCTCAGTTCCATCTTTGGCGATGCATTCCCCCCATACCCTAAACCCCCTCTTTTTACCCCGACTCGTGTAACTTTTTAAATGCAGAATGCCAAGAACCATAAATGACTAGCTGTTGGTTTGTATTTAGTTGAGTACTTTTATTTAGAGGTTTTTGTTACTTTTTATATTTTTGCATGCAGATTTTCCGTTTTGTTTTCTGTTTGCTTTTTCTATCCCTTCAATGCTTCATCTCCCTCCCCCTCCTGCAGCGAACCTAATGTTCTTGATGACTCCCATGGGCGTGATGGCAAGATCAGCCTGTCTAGGTATGAATGCTTCCTGTCTGTCATTGTGATGTAGGAGGGAGAGAGAGGATTGAGGCCAGAATGCAGAACCTCTTCCTCTCACTCTCATTCTGTCTCTCTGTTATTCTCTCCATTGTCCATTTTGTCTGGATTTAAAAGGTGCAGTTCCCTCTCTGGTCAGATCTGATGAAGTGTCTTTTATATATAATATTATATTGACCTGAACTCCGTGAATCATAGCAACATATTGAAATATATTTATGCTGTTTACTCTTTTAGTATTAGGGCATTTTCTGAATTTTGGTTCATGAGGTTTTACAAAAAGTAGCTAATTTCTGTACTGAACCATAAAATAATACAGTGCAGATCACCTGCTAGTTTTTTATATTTCCATGAAACCCCTGCTTGTTGGATCTTTTCCCCATAACCGCAAGAGCATTTACAATGGAGTATCACTCTTGCCACTCTTGGTACTTAATTTATTTTTAATTACAGAAAATGCACCAAGCTAAGTGACACTCCCTTGAATTTCACCATAAAGGGCACAGAGAGAGAGCAAACTGTAAATTCTTCCATGGAAAACCCAAAACTAGAATATCAAACACATACAGTATAGGAAGCCAGTGGGAGAATGAATTCATTCTTGTGCCCATAGGTCCCCTTGCCAGCTTTGATTATATCAAAATATAATAATGAACTGACTCCTGCAGCACACTACTGATGCCTTGGTTCAGTAAACTTAAGACAGTTTAAAAAATTGATGTTTTATTGTCAAATCTTGAAATGTATTTGCTGCATAATATAATGAACGTTTTTCTTTAAGACATAGGATTTAGTTATCTTCACCTATCCTCCTAAATTGTGTTGTTGGACTATTATAGTGCAACTGTCAAAAGATTGCATCGATAGGTTAGATAGTACGCAGCCCAGAAAGACTCTGCACCTTTCACCGTTCAGACTTGTGATCTGATACTGCTGTAGATTGTGTAGTTAGAACTGTTTCATCTCTCACCTATTCCTTATCAGGGGTCCTTATTAGTGACTTCTAAAAGAAATGATGAACTTCAGGTTCTATATAATGAATTAATTCAACATTAAATGTGTTATCATTAATATAGAGCTACAAACCTCAGGTATTAGTAAATTCTTCAATACAGATAGCCATGGCAGTCCTGGAGCTTATTATGGTGCTTATCTATTCCAGTCCTAAGTGGCCAATTGGCTCTTCAATTTTCTTTATCCCCTGATGCAAAGGAGAAGCTGAGAGACACTGGGGGTGATTTACTAACCTAAACACACACACACACCAGGTGTGTGTGATTTTCACACAGCAAAACGTATTTATCAACCAAAAAGTCTCTAAAAGCATATTTCCACTAATGCCATATATGGAAAAATCATGCACATGATGCATATATAATGCTGCTTCACAGTTTAGACAAAAATGGTTAGCTCATGCATTTACATTCCTGCATTCATCAACGCAAGCAACATAACATAGAGCTAATTTACACCACATTACCTTGCAATTCATTGCAGGGCTTTCCACAACACACCTGCTGGGTGTGTACACACTACAAAGGTGTTTCGATTCCTCCCATAGATCATGCTGGGAGGGAACACACTACAGAGGTGTATACACGTTCGTGGTGTGTTTAAAAGGTTAGTAAATCAACCCCACTGTGTTAGTAAAATGGTTAGTGGTCATTGTCTGTAGTTTTCGGTAATATGGTGCACATATCATTAGAAATGTATACACTTAGTATCCCATTGTCATTTTTTCATTTTTAATGTTTCTGATGTACAAATGTTTTGTGACTTCTCAAGCATGTACCGCCCACTTATAGACAGAGATGTCTGGGGCAGTATTAAAAGAATAGAATTTGATCTCCACTCTTACTAGAGGTTGAACTGATTCAGTTTCATGACTGATATATCCTAGGGTAGTTTATCAACTTACTGTAGATTGGATCTCCAAGGTTTACTGTTATTGTTCTGTATTTAAGTCTTTGTTTTGTCATTGTTCTTAGTCCCCAGAAAGCATGGTCAGGCAATACACATGTTGCAAATGTAACTATCTGGGAATCAAAGCCTTGACATACCATATGTGACCTCACCCCACAGATCGTGCACTGCTGCCAGAGGTGCACACATCTTCTTGGAAACAACAAATAAAATGAAACAAAAATTGAATGGAAAAAAGCCCACTAATGGACTATTTTTTATCAGAGTTTCTAGTGCAATTTTATTAGCATATAATACACAAACATTATCCAACATCGGCCAGCTTCTTCTTCAGGGAGCCAGTCCAAAACAGATTACAAAGATGCCACACACCTCGTTTTGCTGCTTAGTGAAGATTTATGTAGAACCACAAAAATCTCGGAGGCATTTTGCGGAACAACACTTAGAGTGTTATTCACTAAGGAGCCGTAGGATCCAGCCGTAGCTTCGGCTGATCCTTCCATTCACTTCAGCCACCGAAGGCTTCGGTTCAGTATTCACTATAGCCCTTACAGCAGCCGAAGGCAGGCGAACGGCTCAGCCGAGCCAAAGCAGACCATGTAAATGACAACAGTTGGTCTAAGCCAGCCAAGATGTCACGGCTGGCCCAGTCCAGTTCTTGTGCTTTAATGACAGATCAGCATCCTCAAATGACCTGGGGACGCTGGTCTGTCATTAAACAACAGCTGGGCGGAGCCAGCCAAGATGTCACAGCTGGCTCCGCCCAGTTGTTGCGCTGTAATGACAAATCACCTTCTTCAAATGACCTGGGGATGCGGATCTGTCATTAAACAACAACAACTGGGCAGAGCCGGCCATGACGTCACGTCCAGCGCCACGCAGTTGTTTTCATTTGCCCAAGACCTGCCGGAAGACCCTGGCAGGTGCCGGCCAAATGCAAACAGTTGGGTGGTGCCAGCGGTGATATCACCACTAGTTCCGCCCAATTTTTTATATTTTGCCATTATCTGTCAGATTCTTCATTCTGTGGCGGCAGTTCGTCTCGTGAGGTCGGGTTGGCGGGCATCGGGTTTTTAAAAAAAAATTTTTTTTTATTTATTTTTTTTTTATTTGGCTGAGTCGTTGTCGTCGTGGACAGCGCTGGATGTCATGATTGACCTTAGGATTACATTGGTGGATCCATTTTTTTTTTTTTTTTTTAATAAAGGACTTGTCAAAAATCCTTTGTTGTGTTTTTATTAAAGGATTTTTTATTAAAGTCTGGTCTTTTAATTTATTTTGATTTAGCCCTTTAGTTAATGGGTGGAGGTACAAGTACCCCTTACTCATTCACAAAAGGGAGGCTGCATCTGGGTGCCCCTTTATTAAAGGGGTACCCTGATGTGAATACGCCCCCCTGCCCGCACCCCCACAACCATCGCTCCAGGGCTTGTGGGGAAGAGGCCCTTGTCCTCAACGGCATGGGTACAAGGTGCTTTTCCAGGGGTGACCCTGGAAAAGCAACCTCCCAGGCATGGCATGTGGCCTGGTATGGCAGGGAGGAGGGCGCT